TTTTTTTTTTAAAAAAAAATTATATATATTTACACCGAAAACTACGCAAATTTCTGCAGTGGAATCGGAGACAAAACTGCTGACTATAGCTTCAAATTGCTTCTAGAGAGCATCAAATTTTCAAAATTTTCCGGGGGAGACCCCCCGGACCCCCCATCGAGGGAGGGGGCCGCCCCCTGGAAATTCGCGGCTGTTTAAGGGGGGGTGAAAAGTAATGAAATAGGGGGGGGAACTCGTCAAGTATCTAGGGGGGGAGTGACACCACTGACTCCCGTTATCAAAATCCTTAAGATCTGACATTTAACTATTATAATCTGTGCATTTAACCAATAATTACTAGGAGTAATAAAAAAGTAAAATGAATAAATTTCTTTTGCGCACTCACTTGCACATAGGGTTATTATTTGGCGACGCCTTTCGGAGTAATTACACCTCCGCATCATCAGCCGTTCGCGTACCTACCCTAACAATAGTCTTACGCGCAAGTGAGTGCGGAAAAGAATGTTATTCATTTTAAAATTTGACTTCGTATAATCCTTGGATAAGTTTTTTTTTTTAAAATAAGATACGAAAATTCAATTTTAACCTGCGTGAAATCTCCAGGTAATCCAGGGATGAATCTTGAAATTAGCAATATATGTGTTAGCGGCAAAACCCGGTTCCAGGCAGAACTAGATTTGCCTAGGCAAAAATGTAAATACATTTTTCCGAGGCATCTATTTTGGCTGCGCAAAATAGGCAAAACCAGTTCCGCCGGAGCGCTGTCAGTTTTGCCTGAACACGACCAGGCGAAACTAGTTTTGCCGGACCGAAAAAAAATGAAAAATAATAATTAAAAAGAAAATAAAGGATAGGGTAAAATAGGTAGTAACTTTACTAAAAATTTAAGAGCAGGGGGTCACTTTATTTATTACACATAGAAGTCTTATACTAAAAAATAAATGTAACGATTTATCTATTTATTGTTGCATGCGGAGCTGCCATGACATTTAGAGTTGCATAAAAGAGAATATTCATTATGAAATGACACACTATAGACAACGTTCTTAGTTCGGCAACTTAGCACAAACGCGGCAATATCACTCATCGGAGCGTCCGAATCTTCTCAACAGTGGGAGAGACGCTGAGCTCAGCTGATTGGATTCTAGGTGCTCCCGACCTGCCGGTGACAGACATAAAGTACATAGAGTCGTAATGTAAGTACGTGAGCTGGCACCACTTTTAAGCATTTTCCAGGTCCCAAATTCCGAGACTCCTGTGTGACGCCGGGTCACTTTTTCGATACATAATCGATTGTTTGCGATAATCGGGTACCCGGCCATCCGATGTAAACAAAGAAGATAGGAATCACCACGTATTCCACACCGCCATTTTGGATCGAACATGTATCGAAAAAGTGACCCGAACTCGGCGCACACCGGGCTGGGAACCCGTTGAGCAGAACATGGCGCCAGCTCTCCCACTTACATTACGACTCTATGTACTCTATGGTGACAGATCCATGTCCCTCCCGAAATGTAAACAGTGTTACGTAATTCGGTCTCGCTCAGCATCGCCGAACACTCCGCTTGTACTTATCAATTTCAATTGGCAGGGCCAGTTTTGCCGGTTCCTTTCAGGCGGAACTAGTTTTGCCGTGCCTCATCAGTTTTGCCTGAACATCAGCAGGCGAAACTAGTTCCGCCAACGGTCGGCTAGTTTTGCCTACGCAAAGCAGGCAAAACAGGTTTTGCCTAGGCAATTCTACTTTTGCCGACGGAAAACAGGCAAAACAGGTTTTGCCTAGGCAAATCTAGTTCTGCCTGGAATCGGGTTCTGCCGCTAACATATGTATACTCAACTGAAAGTACTCATTTAAAGCGGTAAACAGAATTTAGAGACAATTTCTTCATACATTTCATGAAACTTCGTCTCGGAAGTTTGCTCTTACCTGTTGTCCTTGGTATTTTATGATATTTTTCATCCTCTCAACATAGTTCAAGCATCCATCTTCGTCGAGAAACCCGAGATCACCCGTTCGCAACCAGCCGCTTGCACTGATAGCCTCGGCTGTAGCTTTTGGATTATTCACGTAGCCATTAGTTACCATTGGTCCCTTGAAGCACACTTCGCCGACTGTATTCAAGGGCAAATCATCCCCACTGTCCTTATCGATTATCTGAAACAGTGCTAGCACTCAGAGAGGCGAAACGAAGCAAGCCATGCCACACACATTTGGACTACATGTTGCAATTTGGAACTATAAATTCTAGCCCGGTTTAAAAACAACGTACGTGCCATTAGTTTCCCTGTGCACATAAGTGTTTTTCCAGAGGAGCCAGAATTTATATTTCCAAATTGCAAAATGCAGTCCATTTTATACAGCGACAAAGGGACCACATTTTGCGATTAGGAACAACAATTTCTAGCTCATTATGGATGCAACATCCGTATCATTAGTTTTTATAATTAGAAAGGTGGTTTTACGTATGAGCCAGACATTTTAATTCCTTATTATAAAATGCAGTTCAAGTAGAATATGGAATAGGGCGAAACTCCATTTCTTAACTTAATTAGACGTCACTCATAAATAATCAGAGTAGTTGCGTGAACTTTATTCGTGCTATGGTACTTGCATTACAAAACGAACAAGCACCTATAGCTAATGAAACACATGCATAAAACGCCATGTGTATAGTTTGTAGATCGGTGACAACGACGAGCGACTTGCTGTTAAGGTGATTCGATGGACGCCATATTTTGTGTCAAAGCGGCATGCGATGTATCGCATCGATTGGTTCAAATTTTTTCAGCTACTCGTCGTTTTTTTCGAATTTTGAGATCGCAATTCTGTTTTCAGGAGACTAAAGAATTCACCTACCACAACGTGATAAAGGCGTGGTTTTTTAAGAGGCAAAATATCGCATTCGAGTGCAGTTTCAACATCAGTATCGAACGTGATATTTTTCCTCTGAAAAAAACACGCCTAATATAGTATGTTGAATTTGTTCGTCAATATGGGCGAGTGAATTCTTTAGGCTCCTGACAACAGGATTGCGATCTCAAAATACGAGAAAAATTACGAGTATCTGAAAAAATTGAACTAATCGATGCGACGTATCGCATGTTTTTTCTGACACAAAATATGGTGTTTATCGAATCACTTCAATAGAAGCATTCAAATGCAACTATTCGTGTTCTGACAGTGTGTAAGTTGCATATACCCAAGAGTGAAGGCGTTTTGACTTCCTTAACCTCTCCTCTACTGCGATGTGCAAGATCTGACCGGCATACGGCAGTGAACAAGCAGACTGTGCATACGCTCTGTGCTACAGATTGGCTCTAATTTTCTGCACAATAATTTTATATCACGAATCTCACCTTGCATTGCATGGTTTCGACAATTTTTCCGATACGCCTTGGTTTTCCGGGTATGATTTCCCCGACGGCACTGATATAAGTTGTTTCGGTGAGACCGAGCGCCCTGTAAATTTGAACCGGCTGCAAAAATTTCTTCTTTAGCTTTGAGCATTCTTCTTCCGAAATAGGAGCCGCAGCCAACCAAATTTTCCGCACAGATTTCAAGTCACCAAAATTGACCGAGTTAGACTTCAGTAAGGACAGCAATAGAGATGGCACTAAATGCAGATGACTCGCCTGCAAAACATACGGAATTTTCGTGAAAATGATTTCATGCTGGCTATAATCGGGGTTTCCATGAGTGTTTAGAAGTTAATTGAAATTTAATTGTGAATAATCCAAACGTAAAATAATCATTAGAGCAGCAATAGAGCCACATTCAATTGGTCAAGTATATGGACCGTATATGCGTGTAAAGGAGTTTCTGAAATTTTATTTTTGACGAATCTGTACAAATGAAGAGTGAAACAATGATTATTTGATAATCAAATGTAATAATTGGGGAATTCACTTGCGTGATGAATTCAATTTTAAGACGAATATTTCATATCCAGGGTCAATATTAATTATGAGCTAAGCATTTGCTATTGAATGAGATCTTAGAATTTGTAAATTTTTATGACAATGGCAGAATAGTCCGCAATAAAGTCCTGGCTAGGAGCAGACTTGTGTAAAATTTTAAAATGATCATAACTATCATAGCGACAAGTAGGACACACTTTAAAATGATGACTTACCGAGAATTCTTTAATTGTGTTGATCCAACTGAGAAAAGAGAAACTTGCCATGTTTACAATAAGTGCACCCTCGCATAAGCACATGAGCATTGTAGTCAGGCCATAGGCATGGGTGTAAGGCATTAAACCAAGTGCGATGGTACTTTTTTCGATGTATTGATGACTGAAAATAATGAAATTTAAAGAATAGGAGTTTTCAGACGAAGAGAAAGCCGACCCTAAAATCTCCATCGTAAGATGACTCATGAAAAATCAAAATATAAACTTTCCGCTATGGGCAAATTCAATTACTCTCACTCCGTGTAAAAAATGTATCTCAGTTTGCTACGTTGCGGACCTCTTGTTTTTAAATGTGAAAAAACACTACTTACTTTATGCAATTTTAAATGATTTTTTCGAATATCACAGCACTTCTTGTATGAGTCGCCGTCTGTTGTCTTTCAAAAAGAATTAGGATACAAGCAGCACAGAGTGTAGTTATTTTTGAAGAAAAATTAAGTAATTTCTCATGGAAAATACGGTGCGTCATCATTTTAAAATGTATCTGAGGTATGGTTTTGAGCTGTCTTCTAGCCTTATTCGAGAATTACTTTAACATCAATACATATTTCAGTTTTGATCAAATTAAATCTCAATTAATGAACCATGAAAACGAGAGCTCATAGACGCAGCATGCACAAGGATTTTTCTCAACTGAAACGCCATTTCTGTCTCAGGGAAAGCATTAATTTCGAAGCTCAAAGATCATTACCTTAATTTCAGAGCCGCTATTATATTATCATGTGTAAGCATAACGCCTTTTGGTAGACCTGTAGACCCGCTAGAGGTTAGAATGAGAGCAACATCATCGGGAATATTGCTGGATTTGCTTTGCATAGCTTCATTTTCAGTCTCACTCTGCAATTTTTTATTCACCAGCGGAAATTGAATGCACTGTTCGTCTTTTTGAAAGTCTTCCAGCGCACCTTCCAATGCAATTGCTCCCTCGCTACATGGTGTCTTGTCCTCTCCAAATTCGAGTATATACTTTGCTGCATTTATTTTTGGGCAGGCCAGTCTCTTAAGTTCACCCTTTGGCAACAGTAAGCAATCAACTGGAGCTATGTCAAGATTATGCATGACCTCATCTACAAAAAATGTAAAACAAATTTTTCTTTAGCTCTACTTTGAGTTTACGAATATTTCTTCTTCATTTTTTTAAAAGAAAAAAATATCTGGTTCTAATCGTCGGAATTATCAGATACTTAGATGCACGTGCTTACCAGCCGTTCTGCACCAGGCGTCAGAGGCCGTAAGTTCAATGAGACAGCCACCGTAATTCTGATTTTACAGAATTTTCAACCCTCCAGTGATTAGTTTTGAGCCGTGGTAAATATCCTCTACATATAAAAAAAAATCATCTTTAAAACGCCGGATGGACGGGGATAAAGTCATTAAGAATATTGTTGTTGAAATTTTTCTTAGACATCATAGACATCGTTTGTTCCTAAATTGAAATTATTTGCTCATTAACCGCCAAAGGCTGATTTCGACGATTTCGCTGGCCGCTTCAGCGGCCAGGGTGAGTCACACCCTAGTTGAATATAAATATATCACAAAATTAGAAAAGTTTTTATTGTTTTACTCACTTTTTTTTAATCTTCGGTCCTGATTTCTTACTCTTCTTCTAACTTGACTATGACGTCATTTCGGGCCTTTACTGGACCATTTTCAGGTCGTGGCGGTCGCGAACNTTGTTCGCGACCGCCACAACCTGAAGAAGGCCCGAAATGACGTCATAGTCAAGTTAGAAGAAAAGTAAGAAATCACGACCGAAGATTAAAAAGTGAATAAAACAATAAGTTAACAAACACCTGATAAAGTTATGAATCCAGCCGACTAGAAAAGTTTTTATTTTTCGAACGAATGTAAAGGGATACAACTTACGTAATGTTGACTTTCGACTGATTAAATGACAGGCTGCTCCGCTGGCCCAAACACCTAATAAAATCCAAACGAAGTCATCGTTATTTGAACTCATCAAGCCAACTGTGTGCCTCTTGCCGATGTTTTTTGCGTGGAACCATCTTGCTAATGCGGCGCATTTGCACCGTATCTCATTGAAAGTTATCCTCCTGTGAGTTTCAGCGTCAACCTGAACAGAAAAAGTTCGAAAATGAATCGTATTCATACGTCGACAGCACAAATACTGCGTCATAAACGCTTGTTGGGACATTATTTTCGCAAGGAAAAAAGATATATCCCCAAACCTCAGATGAGGACTCCTTTTGGAGAATATCGATGTCTATCATTCTCCAATTCCTTTCCCCCTCCCCCCCACCCATTCCGCCTTGGAAGATGGCTGTAAATTCCTCTGCGCCTTAATTCCTTGTGTGTTCTCTTCTTTTCTATTTCCCTGCTTTCCTTGAGAAATTTTCTCTGTGCCCGTCCTCTGTTTTAATTTTTTCTCGGCCTCCTTCCCTTTTATTCACACATTTTGTGAGCCGAGGTTTTTCGACTTACCCTCTGCCACCTTTTTACCTATTGTATTAAATTTTTTTGGAGAATTTAATCTTTCTATGCTCTACCGTTTCTTTGTGATTGCACTCGTGGAATAAGTGAGAGGGGAAGAAAACCTTAAAATGCTCCTGTTCCCATTTGATTAAATACTCTAAGCGCCCTATTTCCGTGCAACGACGACTCACGAATGCAATATGCAACACATAGTGACATTTTGTTATCACAAGCGGAAAAGATTGAAGGCGCTTCAGCTTTCTCAATGGCTAAGTTTGGATGCAACTATTCGTGTCCTCTGGGTGCCCGTGTTGCATACACAACGAATTGCAGGCGATCTGGCGTTCTTACGGACAACGTATGAATGCGACCGTTGGTTTCAAGAGTTGTCTATGATGCATTTACAACCGTGTTAACGGTTAAACTCTCGGATTCCGAACTTCGAATCAGTCGTTTTGCACCGTGGTCACGGGAGAGTCGCCAAGCCAAAATCAGTGAAAATTTCCGCAAATCATCGGCCGCAAGCATTTCCGCGAAAGCATTGAGGATGTCAGCCTCGCAAATCACGACCGTTGGAATTTCGCAATTTGCGATCCGCCCAGGGCCGGATTCACCTACTTGCCGCCCGTGGGCCGCCCCCTTCTCATTCGTTTTGAAACAGCAATAAAACAAGCAGTGAACTCCAACACAATGTGTTGATAAGGCGCGTCATTAACTCGCACATATCAACCCCTTTAGTTTTCATTTACAGAGATTTCAAAATAGGCAAACAGCATAAAAAGAGAATTCACGATCCAACACTGCGAGGTCAAAGACGCACCTTGACGAGACCGTGTATTGTGAAAGTAGAAAGCTATTCGATCGAATTTAAGTTTTTTGATCTGCCTCAAGCAAAATCTTATCAGATTCTTGAAGAAAAGTGCTACGGAATAATTTAAGCGAAGAAAGGAATAATTCTGTCGAACTCCTAGAAGATAAAGTCGATTTAAAGGTATTTTGGGGCTAAAATACCCAAATCACCGGTAGTAAAAATCCCGTTATATTATTGAAAAGAAATTGACTCGATATAAATGCAATTGCATTAAATACGTCTTGATTTTGTTATTTTAAACGTCTTTCCATGCAAAGAAGTTCAACCATGTCGTTGCTTTATTCATTCATGAATTGAAAGTAAGCAATCTACATCCCGAAAATCTACTGATTTGCCGTAAAAAATTGCAGAAACTTGATATACCAGGTCGATGCACCCACTCGTTGAATTTACCAACCAATTTTGTGAGTGCAAATGTGTAAGAATCAATATGCTATAGTCATTTTGGGTGCATTTATTTTTCATGAAACAATAATAATTTCAATCCCGAAAAACCATCAATTTTCCGTATAAAATCGAAAAAATCAAAATATGTCAACTCCCCGACGTGAAAATTAGATTCTACGTATGTAAAATGTAAATACTTATGTATCGATATGCTGAACAGAACTATGTGTGGACAGTCAGAAGCCCGCGGCAACATTAATTCAACAGAAAAACTGTAAAAATTAGATAGGATTTTAGCCGCTTTGCCCGCCTCTCCTCGCTACTTACAACAAACCGTTCTTATACTCATCTCAAAATTTTTCTCAGAGCTTTGGGTTATTATCAGCTTCCATTTAAACTCCGGTTCGATGGCCGAATCGGCTGCCAAAAAAGCAAGCCACTGTTGAGGGGTTCTATGAGAAATTCGTGATATTATCGGCTCTCAGGAAATCACCCCATGGCTAAAATTGGTGGTATAAATGTTTAAGTGCTTAAAATAATCGTATTCAAGAAACTAAGGAATTAAACTATGGAGTCAATTTCTTTTTAATAATATAACGAATTTACTACCGGTGATTTAGCTATTATAGCCCCAGAATACTTTTAAAGCGCCTTTGCGTTCCAGAATCTCGACGGAATTTTTTTTTTTTTTTTTTTTGCTTAAACGATTCAAGAAACATTGTAGTTAAAAATATAAAGATTTTTCGATTTGGACGTATGAAAAATGTTTAACTCGTTCAGGCACACCGTGTATTGTATGGAGTACTGCTGTTATTCGACCGTTGTCTTCAGGTCAAAATTCTTACAAAGAAGCCCCTTGCAAGAGGCAAATTTTTTGTAATTTCTCCCAGTTTTTTCAGCGTTAGGTATATAAATGAATTGTTTGTCAAATTTTGAGGTCAATTATATTTAATTGTAATTTATACTTTCTTTTTTTCCCCTTCATTTTATTTTTCGTATCGAGGAGTCGAGGTTTTGTTGATTTCTTCGGATTTCGATTACTGTAACTTCTCTTCTATTCGGCCGATTTTTATGAATGAGGTCTCTTTTTATTTGTGTTTTAACGGAGAGTAAGGAAAAAATTGCTAAATACATGCGAAACAATTTTTTTTGAAAATTGGATGAATCCTAGCGTGACGGTGAAATGGTTAATGAAGCGTGAGTAATTGGGGTACGGGTATCGGCCGCGTTGGGACCCAAGGCCCATTGTTCTTCGTGACGCCGACGCAGTGATCAGGAGCGTGGGGACGAGAGGGCTTAGTGGACTCCTGTATGAGCCACGTTTAGCAAATGGTCTAATGAGTCTCGAGGCTCATCACAGATTGCACTTACCACTATCCTGGTGGCCCCGGCTATCAGAGCAAGGAGTACCAACTTTTGAAAAGGATAACAGTGTTGTGGAGATATGTCAAAGCAACGTTGTGAACAAAACGGAGTGAGTGAAATTCTCATTCAAGGAGTGCCGAACTGGTCAGCCATCCTCGAATCAGTTCGCTTGCTTCCGCTTATATATGCATATTTTAAATCAGCGCGCCCCATTCTAAGGTTTTTTTAAAAAAAACCAAGAAACGTAGACTCTTGGTATTCATTACACATAAACTAGCGAGCCCCAGAATGAGAAACAAATTTTAATCATTATTATTGACGGATTAGTAAACTTTTTACACGCTTTGGAAAATCTCAGAAGTTCGCGGTAGTCACTTTTCGGTAAGGAACTAGGGGACTCGGTTATTGTATCGAGGGGGGGGTCGAAACGATCGCAAAGGCGGTATACTACGTATACGCGCCAAAATATTAGGTGAACGTGCCAGAGGAGGAGGGGTGCATAAGACGGCATCTCATGCATTAAGACTCGTTCACTCGTGTCGGAAACATTTTTTGCGGAAACCCTGCCCTGTCAACACTACTGGTAAAAGTTCAAGGAACTTTGCGCGAAAGTTAAGTTCCGTAAACCTATCTCTGTGTGGTCAAGGCCTTCCATTTTTGAGAGATGAACGAGAAAATTATGAAAGAACAAACATAATTGTGGTTTAATAATCATTTTAACGTCCGCCGCCGCGCCTCGCTGACCGCACTCTGTTTGACACAATGCGCGAAGTATTCATGCAGCCTTGTAGGCGCTATGCGTTTCACGCTGACCGCACTGTATTTGACGCAATGCGTGAAGTATTCATGCAGTCTTGTAGGCGTTAATATGTGTTAAATGCCAACCGCTGCACCGAGGGCTACTCCTTTTCATCTCATGTCCTCGTCATTATTGCTCTCTGCGCCGCGCCACTCCAGGCTAAATTGCGTGTTTGGTTTCTCTCTTAACTCGACTAATTAAAGGTGCTGTCTTTTGAATCACCGAAAGACGAAAAAATTAGACATTTCTATACTCTCAGAAAATGAGAGATTTTTTCGCCTTTTCTCGATTGTAATTTTTTTTTTTCTGAATCTGATTTTTTTCTCAACCTATATTTAAAAAAATTGCAAAATTTGCCGCCATGGGCCGCGGCCCATATGGCCACCCGCTAGATCCGGCCCTGGATCCGCTTTAAAAACTATCCGTGAATAGAGTTTTTATCGGAAACCATGCTAAAAAAACACTGAAAATAAAAACAGGGATTTTTTGTCAACATCTGGAAATTCGGGGAATTTTTTAATCCAAGAAAACTTGTCCCTTTGACTAAGTTAAAAACTTAATTTTGAAATAAAATTAACATTTATACATCTATTATCAAGAAAAAACACCTTGAAAAAATACTTATAAAAGCCAAGAATATGATTAAAACTATTTTAATACTTCCATTGTATCTCGCAAAAAGGAACCAAGAGTATTCCAATGTCGCTAAGATTGTGCAACTTTTTTTACCTTGCAAACATGAACGATCATCTAAACTAGTTTCACCTCTACTCCCAATAAACTATGAATTCAAGACGAAAATTACCGTCGTAAAGTTTACTTTTTGCAAAGAATGTACGTACCTCGGTTGTTGTACCAAAGTTGCACAATCCCAGCAACATTGAAATGCTCTTAGTTCCTTTTTGCGAAATGTAATCCAATTGGTTGTTGCTGTAAAAAAAATAGTTTCCCGCAACCTCCTATACATTACAATGCTCCAGTGACCACATAAGTTGGCCCGAGCACAAATTTTTCGGGAAGAAAAGCTTTCCCCTTCCTGGTTTTTCACTTAATATCCGCCGGAGTTTCGCATATCTTCCGTTTCTCCTCATCGCAGCTTCCATCAAATCGCAATTGCCTGGAAACTAGGACCGCACATCTCATCTGATAAAATCGTTCGCCCTTTCGACCGATTCTGGGGGATTAGGCTAGATTAGTCGATGAGTCAACTGTTGGTCTAATTTCATTACGTGAACGCAGAGGAAAAACGGGGTAAAAAAACACTAATGTGTGATCAATTTTCAAGGACAATTCTGTAATTTCTCCTACTATTTTAAATAGATGAAAACGCGTAATATCCAAAATCTAAGCTCAGATTCGGATTCCTCGTGAAAAATTGATAAGATTTCATGTATTATATGTTAGAATAACGTGAAGGAAAAAGGTTTAACGACGCGTATAGATTCTGTCGTACTGCCTCTTTGAAGTACGCCGCGCTGCCGCGCCGCGTCGCGTCGGTCGCCCGAGATGCAACCGAACGGGGAGGCGCCGGCCGGCGCTAAGAATTCGGTTTCGTCCCGAGGAATTCCTCACGATAAATTCTTATTCTTCCTCCTCCGCTGACCCACTGAGCACTACCCATGTTGCCACGTTGCATTCATATGCTCGAATCAGTATGCCTACGTTACGTGTCTTTCCTTCACGCTATGCTCGGGTATGATACATGAAATTGCATCGATTTTTAACGAGGAATCCGAATCTGAGCTTCGATTTTGGGTATCACGCGTTTTAAGTCACATTTTCTAACTTCAAAAATCCGAAATGACGGACGTGCTAAAAATGCTATCTCGGCTCCTGTTCGATGGATTTTTGTGAAACTCGGTGTCAGGGTATGATACATGAAATCGCATCGATTTCTCACGAGGAATCCGAATCTGAGCTTCGATTTTGAGTATTACTTGTTTTAAATCAAAATCTGTCAAAATTCAAAAAATTCAAAATTCGAAAATCCGAAATGACTGAAATGGCTTAAAATGCTATCTCGGCTCCTGTTCTATGGATTATTCTGAAATTCAGTGTCGGGTGGTATTTTTCGACAGGAAACTCGAATTTTTGGTCAGATTTTCAAAATTTCAAAATGCAAGATGGCGGCCGTGGCCTAAAATGCTAAGTCTGCTGATTGTTGATGAGGACAAAGATAACATATTCGCCACTATTCACCATACTTCGTTAAAAAAAAGTAAATTCGTTCTTTTAAAAGTTAATAGCTATGAGGGGCGGCTCGCGGAACGAGTCGCAAGTTCATCGCGAAGCGAGGAACTGGGGGTCCAGGGGCACTCCCCAGCCAGGCGCGACAGCTCGCACAGCTCGCTGAACACGGCTAGTAGTTTATACATGTCTTTGATATGAGTGGTCCAGAGCCGCTCTCCAGCGGCAGTGCGCTGGAGTTACTGCTTGTTTAATTGACAGTAGGTATTCCATGTGAACTTTTGATGAGGCGCCGGCAAATTATATTCCATTAGTGCATTTCTCAAACTTTTCTACTTTTTTAAAACATTTTTTCTGTTGAAAAGGGCTTTCTAATATTGCGTTGGTGGGTAGTAGTAATTTTCAAACTTTCCGGAGCTCATTCTTCTGCCAAACCCCCCTCCCCCCCGACTTATTCACGTTCCACGCAAGTTAGGAACGACAGCAATTTTCCCGTTTCTCCCAGCGGCAAATATGTAAATCCGGGCCTGATAAGTCGTATGGCACTATGACCTTGCAACATGGTGCGATATGCGGAAACATCATCGGCAGTAAATTACGTGTCCGGAATGCCTTTGTGGAAGTGTTTTTGGTGGAAAATTTCAACCATATGACAACGTTACTGTTATGCCACACGGCGCTTTCGAACACCGAGGACTTCGTGGTAAACACGACTGTAAATTCAACGTGGAAAACCCTTCAGAACTAACAACCGCAGTCGTGCGATCTGCTAAAGAAAGCCAGAGCGCCTGCAATTCGTTTGGTATGCAACACGGACATCCCAAGAACACGAATAGTTGTATCCAGACCTAGCCATTCAAAAAGCCGGAACGCCTGCAATTTTTCCCGTTTGTGATAACAAAATGTGTCACTCATTGCATTTATACATCGTCGTTTCACGAAAATAGGGCGCTTTGAATATATAATCAAGTGGAAGAAAAAGGAATAAGTGAATTAATAATAGATATACAAATAAAATGGAGACGATTCATCGGCGATTGAACACATGATCTTCCTCATATTTATCATCTTATTTTCATACATATTTTCTCTTGTAATTTACTTGGATATATATGTAAAACTCGTATCATACATTAGTTATATCCTGTTTTCCATCAAGGTGGATAAAATAATTTAGGACCAAAAATGAGCAATTATTCGAGAGAACTGCAAAACTTCACTACTTTGCGCTGGTAAATCTGGCAAAAACCTTTCAAAAATACCTCAACTAAGGACAAGTTCTCACAGGGTAGATGATTAAGAGTCGTTACACGTTACATGGAGTTACATTGACGTTACAACTGAAGTGGACATTCATCCTGAAGTACACCACTTTGAAGTACAAAAGGAAAGCCGTCATAAAAACGGATAAGTTTGTCTTGTAAAATCGTTCTAGAATGACAATAGTAAAATTACAAAGCATTCTCATAAATTGCATATTTGTGGGAGAAGAGATGGCAGCATTCTCCGCGAACTACATAGAGCTAATTGATAGACTTGCTGAACGAAACCAAAAATCGCAGTGGATAAGCCCAAGAGCATAGTTACAAATGAAGTAAATTAAACATACAAAATAAATTAGATAAATTCAGGTTATGGTTTAGAAAAATTCCTCTTTAAGTACACAAAGCATTGACTGTATGGGCGTACGAAAGGGGGGTCCAGGGGGGCCTGGCCCCTCTAGAATTGAAAATAGCACTATCTGCCCTCCTCCGCCTCCAAAAAAAATAAAAAAAAAAAAAAAAAATCTGGATGGTGAGAAAAAACCTTCGTCGAGGATGATTATCTATCATAATGCACATTCTTAAATGAAAACACCATTTTCATTCAGTTAGCATTTCCTGAGACTTTTATCAATGAAGCCTCAAAATTTGTCTAAGTAGATTTAAAATGTCAAGAAATTTACGGATCTATGATACGCAACAATTTGAAAGTATTCTTTGCTGAAAGTAAAAAAATGAACTTAATATTTCCGTAGAAATTGATGGAAAATCTTCTTCATGGGAGCCTAAAAATGGGTCCAAATAGTTTTATAATTTCAAATATTTCCGGACCCCCCTTTGGACGGAGTTGGGGGGAGGGACTCAAATCCTAGCAAAATGACCTTTCTAGCAAAATGATGTAGGTATGCATATGATTGACTGCAAGACAGTCATTTATATAAATGTAATTTACCTGAGCGGTATCTGCTCCATAAGACTCGATGATTTTCAAAATATAATCCGACACTCGCATTTTTACACCTTACGAACACCGGTGCAAACGTCATTCAAGACCTCTCAGATGTTATAAAACTAAGACGTCAATCTCACTTTCAAGCAACTTACAGCGTTATATGAATAATATTGATGAGGATGACAACCAATACAAGCAAGCAAGAGCTAGCCATATTGCTAATCTGGCACTGGTAGAAACGCCCCTCCGCCCTCCCACCTGATTGATTGTTGTGAGAAAAATACCGGTAGCGGCTCAACCGCCATTGGATCATTCGTTTTGACGTATAATGGACTACTTCATGAGTGAATTCATTTGATTGCTGGGTTTCATCAACGTAATCGTGTTATTCATCGCATCTTAAGCTGTTTTAACTTATATTTTTAGGACAGTTCCATTACCAGGTATTCTCATTTTTGTACATAACTGAGCGCGCAAATTCTGCATCAATGGTGTAAATTGCATGATACACAGAGAGAAATTTCAACACAAACGTTTGATTAATACGAGGGGTAAAACAGAAAATAACCCGAGCCATTCGGTTGACAATTTTAAGAGAAAATGCCAGCTAATTTTTTTGAAGAAATTCAATAAAAAACGAGAGGTCAAAATCAACGTCGCAATCGGGAGAATGCATTTTCCCAGTCCCTCCATTGTTTTCTGCGCTAAATTCACCGCAAACTGTGTGTTTTACTTCCTATATTAACCCAAAGTAACACAGGAAAACACATATTTTTATCTGCGTATTTATACTTTTGAAGCTGAAAAAGCATATTTTTTGTAATTTAGAGCGCACCTGACTAACGATATGTGAAAAAACACATACGTTATACTTTCCTCGCTATGAAGTTAAACGGAGTACCTAAAATGAACAGGTGTCCTCAAATTTACTTGAAGACTTAAAAGCTTGCATAAGTAAAAATGCAAAGAGGCTTAAGTGACACGTTTCATGTGAAAGCATTATGAGTTACATGTTTGTTGTAAGAAGGTCAGGTTTCAATGTTCATACTTAAAGAAATTCACTACTACAGTACAACTCCGTAAGCATGTATCTATAGTTTGCGGTGCTTAAAACCTACGCTCACATTTTAATTCTTTGAAGGAGAACAAATTAATACTGTTTCCTTAAATTTTCACAGAGTTTTCTCGGCAACGAGAAAAAAAAGCCAGGAAGTTCCGAGAATTGACGTTGAGTAGTTTTTTTTTTTTTAAAAATGAAGTATCCAAATCCACGTAATCGATGTAGCTATATTCAATTCCCTCAATTCGAGAGCATGGCACTTTTTTGCCAAACCAAGACAATTAATTGACGTAGGTATAAAATTAAATAAAATTTAAAACAAATTAAAAGACAGAAAAAATGGCTAGAGACACAACGTTGTCGCGGACTCGGAGTTTAAAACAAGAAACACGATCACTAGAATATTCGATCATTTCTAGAATGTTCCGTATGAGAGGATAATCCGCCGCCCTCCGGGCAGAATATGTGGAGGGCCGGTTGTACTTTGGTACATGTTGCCACACTTCTTAAACGTGTCAAATTTTGGGAAATTAATAGGGAGTATCACCTAAAAAGTTTACCTAATCTTTGTTTTGTGATCGATACTAATTGTTGAAATTTAAATAAAATTGCATGCAAAAATTTTGATGAAAAAAGTGAAACAACTCTGAGACGCCCGACAACATAGCATCCAAGCTTGAATGGCACTTGTGTTACTCTGCCCGAAAGGGCACGGTTTTAGCATGGACAAAAACAGAAAACCGAAAGGGGGAGGGGGGTACACAATCCGGAAAAAAACCAAAATCTTACCCTATAATATAGAATCATAAAAGTGAAACGCGTAACGCATAATGCCTGAGACGCGAGGCGCAACGCGGGTGGTTGTGCCGCGAAGTAGTCAAGGTGCGTACCCCCTAATTTCCTTGATTACCGCCAAAATCTGTATCCGAATCAATGGGAATGAAGAGAGTATTACAAAAAAAGAAAATCGGGATGAGCACGGAATAAGTCTTTTAATCTGATTCTAAAAAAAAATCTATTGTCGAGTCGACACCAGTCCTATTTACCTTCATCTCATTTTCGTTTTACCACTTTTTAAAGAAGTAATGCGATTCAAATAAACCTCCTATATTCCTCAATTGACCCCAGACCAACATTATCAATGACTGCCTAGAGCGTTACGGCCAGGAAACTCAATCGTGCATCTTGACAATCATAGAGCCATTCATTTTTAACGGAGACTTTAACGCAAAAGTAGAAAAGTAAGCGCATCGCGGAAATGAAATACAGCACATAATTATCACACACTGTTACATAAAATAATCAAAGTCATGCGTGGTGCATACGCCTGAGTTACTGGAAATGATCTAGCTCCCATTTTGCTACAATCAGACATGGCTACCCATTACCTTTGGACCTACATCCTACACTGTTAAAAATCCCGGTGCGAAATTCAAGCTTGCTCAGTTGCTATTTTGACCACCTGTTACACTGAGTGAATAGATCCGGCGCGAAATTGGTTATTCGCGCTCTGGCGGGAGTGAAAATCTTACGGGCAAATGTAAAATGGAACTGCCGTAGCATGGATTTGAACCCGAGAAGGCTATCATTTTGCCATTCGACGCTTCACTGAAAAAAATGAGTTAGCGTCAGATGACTAAAAATGGTTTCTATACACTAACTCAAATTGTGTGATTTGGACACACATGATTTTTGGTTTCTGTACACTAACCACTATTAGTGCTGGAAACTAATTCCGCTACTCTAATTCGCATTCGGTAGGGTTGGGTCAANGGAACTGCCGTAGCATGGATTTGAACCCGAGAAGGCTATCATTTTGCCATTCGACGCTTGAAATAGGGATCTGTGAATTCACGCTACTTGAGAGAGCTCAACTAATTCGTACATCGTTGGTGCTATTTACGCTCTGATATATTCACTCAGAGTGCGGCGCGATATCCGCGCTAGATTTTTTTTTCTCGCCGGCTATTCGCTTAGAGTAAATCATTGATTTTTAATAGTGTAGCCTAACGCGAGAAATTGAATATCTCAATATCTGCAGTGTGATATATTGATTGAAGTGCGTCATTCTTATGGTGCCTTTCAAATGGGAAAATAGTGTAAATAACATATCAGATCTACTAAGAAGTCGATATGCACAACGTCACAGTTCTTGGTATTCGTTTCTGCGAGAGAAAAATTCTCAACACAAAGTTAAAAAAAAACTCAATTAGCATAATTTTTTCCTTTCCGAGTTAAGCTGTTTAGAGCAACATTAGTTACAACCAATCAATGAGGCAGCGGCAGACGCGTTTTGGATCTAATTGGATCCATCATCGGCACCATAAGTGCAGCGCAGCCTTCTGATATTTATTCCTAAGCTCGAAGACATCGCACAGTGGATCGAGTCCATGGAAGAGGTCGGACAAAATTTGGAAACTTTTAACACCTATAACTTCGCTTGTACAAAACTTTGAGTTTCTAAGAGGGGTTTCTTTGTTTTTCTCGTGAAATTTTCTTTCAGAAGCACCCCTTAAAATTTAAAATTTGACGAATTAAACGTCAACATTTGCAGTTTCAGTTGAGAGTTTCATGTCCGACCTCTCTGATCGACTCGATCCACTGTGCGCCGATAACACGACGCCGAGGTTAGTGCGAGCGGTAGCAAGCGAACATACCGATCCAACAGTGTAGCTATAAACGGGAAAATTTACTTTTAATGAGTTCATTCCTTTGCGGTGAGTATTTCTATTTCAAAGGAACAAGCGCCGTTGACCGTGATGTCATGTCAACATCTCTGTGTCTAATCCTAAAATGAAGCTGTTGGCCTGAATACTGTAGGTGAGGATGACAGCGAGGGCGAGAATGTGAGTAAAAGTGAGAGTGTCGATGAAATGGAGAATGGGAATGTGAAGAAGGAATTATAGATTCAGGAGAGGGCGAATTTCTGCGAAAAGAACAGTGAAAAGTATGGTTGGTTGGTTAATCGGTTTATTCGAAGGTGTCTCGCATGCATATCATATGTGATTTGCATGATTTACAAGTGCACTTTGAACGAAACAAATTTTCTCGATCAGTATGAAGTTCATAGATTTGTATTGACAATAAATCATCATGACTCATGTTTCAATCAAAATAGCATTTTGCAACTGAAAAACGTCGAAACGCTCTTTTTGTTTTTCAAAATGTCAACAACTGCTTTTTTGAATGGTTCATATATATAAAATAGTGGAAATGGCTCTCCGACAGAATTAGCATTCGTGTCTGTCATTTTCAAACATATATTTTTAAAAAGATGGCTTTAAGTCGAGCTTTTTGTACGATTTCTCTGGAAAGTGCTTTGATGCGTCCTACTTAATTTATATTTGTTTTACTTTTATTTGTTTAGTTTAATGTACAACGAACGTTCTCCTATCATTTTTTTTATTGCCGAATATCAACATATTTGATGATATAGATGTCGACTGACAACATTTAGGAATATAATACTTCAAACGGAAGTTGAAAAAGTTACGCTGTAAGAATTTATCAAGTATCGATCATTCGGTTTTTGTAAATTGGTTTTTTGTGGTAACACGACTAACACTCATCTTAAAACTGAGAATCGTTCTTTAAATTAACCCAATGAAATTATTGCTCATGGCATTACTTATTTCCTCGGAAGAAATTGTGAGGTCATCACGCACTGTAAACATGACGCGGGAAGTTCTCCATAAATGCACAAAAAATACCTGTCTTCCTGCGCAATTACGGTATTTCGATGATCACCCAGAAGAGTAGGCTGCGGCTGTACCACCTGGAGGTCTTTTACTTATTTCTCTCTCTCATTTTTTTCTGCAGGTCCCAAGCTTGGCCAAAGTTCATTCCATTTTTTTTTATTATTATTTGCCTTTACTTGTATCTCTCCTTCCGTTTCCCACTCGTGGTGTAAACAGCTACTCATAAAGTTAAATTTACACTTCGGGGAGCGAGACTAAAAAACACACAATATTATGGCGCTCACCAACGCCCTCCTTAGTTGATTAAATTAAAATTTAAAAATTTAAACATCATTAAAAAACAGAGACACACGCAAAAAATAGAGCCAAGCGTGGAGGCGGAACTAAAAAATGTTGGATTTGATGTGATCAGCACCAGCAGATTGCCCCCGGTGCTTAAAAAGGAACCTGTGAATCGGCGGTGAAATTTGAAATGTCTATACCTGTCTTATTTTGGTAGTAAAAGAGTACCAACCCTATCGCTTGAATCTTTTTTCTCCCTTTTTTTTGTAAGAAAAAAAAGCGAAAACAAAAATAAATAAATAAAAATAAAGCGATACAAAACAATAATAGTAATGAAAAATAGCGAAATAGCGAATAATAAAAGTGATAAAATAAAGCGATTAATATTAACCTATTCCAATGCCTAACGCACTTTTTTCTGCCGACATGAAAAAGTCAATGGAATCGCCGAGGCCAGTGATCTCTGCGTGGTGCCGACTCTCCATTCATGCACATCCAGTGCCATAACTTGAATTGTTGTTAATAACTTCATTGTCAAACGCGCTCTGTGATAAACACGTGTAGAACTCGGGAACAAAATCCTGAAGAAGGGGGTAGATTCTCTGATTATATTTTGTTTACTTTTTTCCAGTGGCGTTTTATAATCTTTGGATTGTTGTGACCAACTTTATTTACCATGAAGCGCGCTTAGAGAAATTAACATCATTTATGACTCTGGAGCAGAATCGTGAGGAAGCGCGGTGAGTTACCCACAATTTTTTGTGGTAAAATTTAAGGGATGGAGAATTGACTCGCAAGTGCTTGCGTACATGGTTATTTCGCTCACAATTTATGAAATAGACCAGAACTACCATGCCAGGGAAGAACAACGTATAAGCCTTTAAACGTTGCCAAATCAACTGTAACAAGAGACGAATTTTTGGGGCTTCTGGTGAGTATTTTTCTTCCAATCTTAAAAAGGATTTTGTTCACAATTCAATCCAGAGTATTCAATATTTCAAAGGAAGATGTTCAAAACTTTTTCCGAGACCTTTGCATAATTTTTGGCTATTTTATGAAATTCTTTTTTTTCTACGGGTACGATCAATGATGTAATTAACCAAGTGGGGTATAAACATAAACATGAGGATTCAGTTTATTCTCCCATACCACTATTTTAAACTCAATTTCAATTTTCAGATTGTCCCACGGGATGTTAGATTATCATATTTTCTTGAAATTTTATAACACTTGCCTGTTTTTTTACTTACACTAAAAAACGTTATATATCTCCATTCATTGAAACAAATAACAGTAGAATGAGGTGACGCCTCCGCCCCGCCCCCACCAATAAGATATCGTCATGAATTTTCACTTTTTAACTTTAATTTTCAGCAATACATGCAAGAAAAAAATGGCAGCAGGTGTCTTAGTAAAGCTTCCTATTGTTATGACTTTTCTGGTTGTAGTGGTCCATGCTATAACTTCGGAAAATATTCTGAAATCTTCTTTGAATACAAAGAATCATGAAAAATGGATATCAAGAATTTTCTCCGATCATATATGGAACTACAACATGACGGCAAGATATAACCCAGACTGTATGCAGCACTTCAAAATTTTCCGCCAGCATCAAGCAAATTTCAGCACATGGGCGTTGCAAAGTAAGTGGTTTCCCCATTAGTTTTTGAAGTCATTTAAAAGAATGAAATTAGATTCTTGAGGCTTTCCCGTCATTTTCCAAACATGAAAAAATAACAGAGACAGAAAAAAGAAAGATATAACTGACCAATTTTAGGTTTGAGCAAGGAACTTCACCATTTCTGTTCAAGCAGTAGGTTAGATCCGCGTTTGTACAAAATGAATACATAGAGTAGTCGTTTGAGTTACTTTGACGCCTACTTCCACCTTATAAAAGCATTACTCGTCTTGGAATTTTCGTCAGTAGAAAATGTGCGGCTAATTCAAAGTCAAAACCAATGCAAACTTTTTTTTGATACCGCTGATGTTTTTTCAAAAACAAAAATAAAACAAGAAAACAAAAACAAAAAAAACAGTGCCCTCGTTTTAATTTTCCGGTGAGTCACTCCTGTTGACGTCATTTTACTGAAGTATGCTAGTGCTTAAATGTAGAGTCAAGAGTGTCTGTTCAAAAATCCTCTCTATTCTAATAAAATCATTTTTAAGACGCTTATTGGACGGGATGAGGAAGGGGAGTAATACGGTCGATGGGCAGGAGGGAGGAAGGAGAGTTTAAAGGTCAGAGCTTTGATAGAGTGGGTCTTTACTTTCTGAGGCCTTTGTTTAGTCATGGACAGCTATATGTGGCCCTGTCAAGGTCGACTTCCAAAAAAGGAATCAAAATTCAGCGTAAGGAGAAAGTCATTAAGAATAGTGCTTGACAGGGAATTTTTCTTTGAATCGCCGTTTTGATATTCAATTAAAATTATTTGCGCATTAATCGCCAACGCGCGATTTGGACGATTTCGCTGGCCGCGAGGTGGCCTTTGATGGCGCTCAGCGCTCCGGGGGTTGGGCCGCGTAGCGGCCAGAAGGCATATCCCCTGGTAATCAACTGAAATTAAATTTTAAAAGTAAATCTATTTCTTCCAGTGTTAGATGCATCTGATCTGATTCCAACTGGTTTTCTTGTCGGAGACGGTTATCGCCTAGGCAATTTCGACGAATGCCTTCAAACGAACATTCCAAGCGAACTGGGGTTCTTCCCACAGTACTGTTTGCCCACTTTTACCATCCTTCAAGAAGAAGATACTCAGAATTTTGCTGCATCGTCTAATGATTGGAGAGAGTCCATATGGAAAAGGCTTCAGGTTCGCAGATATATTGTCAAGCTTCATATTGTTAAATTGTGTATCGTTAAACTTATTTTCAAACGCTGTATTTCACGCCGAGGATTCCGGTCAAAGTTGTTCATTTCATCCTTTTAATAAGACCATCAGTGGCGAGGCGCGAATGATCGATTATCGATATTTCTCCATTTGAAACTGTGGCAGAAATCGATTTTTAAGGTGGTCGTTGTGGACACCCTGTTTATCGATTATTTTCCATATGTTTAAATGACAGACCAATCTATACATCGCAAAACACAACACGCCACTGAAAAACATTGAACGATTCTACAAAATCCCTGCGGGTAAAGAGCTAGATTTTAGTGGATGATTTACCTTGTTATACGCTTATGCTCTTCCACCACCTCATTAAGATCTAAAACATGATCGTTTAAAATTCGCTCATGAATAACTGGATGTTGTTCACTCTCTTCTGAAAATTTTCCGCCCATCACAGTCAAACTATCGATTAATCCTAGACACTAGAACTACCAAATAACCCATGGGAAATAAGTCAACAATTATTCGAGCATACCAAAATTTTCTTTAGTTTCTACACCAGAATGTTTCCTATACACTTTTTTATGTTCAAAAGTTTGAAATGTTTCCATTTTGTTAAATTTTGCCATTAAATCAAAAGCTTCTGATGCAATTTTATGCCAAATCAAAAATAATTTCAAGGAGTTGGAATATTTACCAGCTTCTGGAATTATAAAAAAAGCCCATATCATTCTCTAAGCTCTTTTTGTATTGTGATGTTAACTGTCAGGCCGAAAGCAGGATCAAGGTTCCAAAGAATCGTTTCAGCCTATCATTTTGTATACCGAGTACTTGCTCTCCATACGACTTGCAAACGTCCTTACAAGTACTGCTTCACAATGTGACAAGACCACTCGGGTACGATCTTAATGTGACCGTTGATGATCTTCATTGTACGACAGGAAGAGACCGGCCCGAATCCGCTGGTTATGTGATAATGAGGTTAGTATTCGAATAATTTATGAGCCACTAGACTTTCAAATAAAATGGGACGTGTAAAGTTATTTTAATAAGGGTAGAAATTAAATCTGTCTGAAAGCCTCCCTTGCTTCCCTTGCTTAGATTGACTGTAAGAGGCCTTAAAATTGTTGACTCCATGCTTTACACACTTCGCGCTTCAAAATTCGTTAAGATACTTGATCGTCTTAGAGTATCAGCTCAATACAATCGCAGCGGTTTCCTCAATTTTATTTATCTTTGTTTCTATTAATAAAGGTACCTCTGACCCATGCAATCGTTTTTCAGGTCTTTTCTGGTGGTTGCAACAGTTGTCTTGATATTCTGTTCTGTGGCTGACATTGTTTTGGCAGCAATACAAGATGGAAAGTATGATCTCAATAACTGTTCATTTACGAAAGCCTCAGGTGAGATTTTAGACGAACTTAGGGTCACTTTTGTGTGAATCATAAATCAGCAGCTTTGCCCTCTCGAGCGTTACCTGTAACGCTGCTAGGACTGAAACTATCACGTTTAAGAAAAATTGAATAAAATGAAAATTGTACCGCAAATTGTACATTTGAAATATTACTTCGGCACTGTTACGTACCTCCTACCAGTTGCAAGGCGTGAATGATTGACTATGGATATTTCCCCATTTGAAACTGGTAAAAAATCGATTATTAAGGTTTAATCCTGCTTGTCGATCCTTTTCCAAAGGTTTAAATGGTGAATCAATCGATATATCGCAAAGCACGCCACTCTACTGCCTACTACCTTCTGGGTTCCGGGGGCTTTGTCATTTACATTCAAACATGCCACAATAGTTCGTCTTCGTAAGTTCAACACTATACTGCCGTGCTGAGGCATAGCGTACATTAAGTGTTAATGTAAGTAGGTGAGCTGGCGCCACTTTTAAGCATTTTCCAGGTCCCGAATTCCGAGCCTCCTGTGTGACGCCGCGCCGGGTCACTTTTTCAACACATGATCGATTGTTTGCGATACACGGGTATCCGGCCATCCGATGTAAACAAAGAAGATAGGAATCACCACGTATTCCACACCGCCATTTTGGATCGAATACATGTATCGAAAAAGTGACCCAAACTCGGCGCACACCGGACTCGGAACTCGTCGAGCAGAACATGATGCCAGCTCTCCCATTTACATTACGACTCTATGTACTCTATGTGCTGAAGAAGAACGCCATGTGAGCCCCCAGACGTTGCCCTATTTCTTTGAAGGAAAACCAAATTTACTGAGAATATTGTGAATATTTTTCCTCAAATCTTTCAGTAAATTTTGTTCACGATTTAATCTAAAATATCTGAAAATTTCAAGGAAAAATATGTATAACTTTTCTCAAGAATACATGTTTTATTTTGGGAAATTTGGCAACTCTCGGATGTTCATACGGCGTTCTTCCTTAGCACGGCAGTATAGCTTATGTTCATGGACGGACGTCGCGCGCCGTACTGATCTGTTTGACACAGTGGTCTATGTTCTGTTTATGAACAGGGGTAGCAAAATGGCTGATTCCATTCTCTTTCTACCGGAATATGAGTCAGCTGCTGGCTGCACCCACATCTCCGGACGATTACAAGATACTTCATGGCATCAAATGCGTGCTGCTGGTGATGACAATAGTGGGGCACCGGTCCATGTTCGTTGCCGAGAGAGCGGCAATAACAAACTGGTCCTATTTTGAAAAAGTAAGGTACTTTTTTTATACGATGTCACGTACTGGTCAATGACTCAAGTCTTTTTTACTCTCTATGCGAAAAGTATGCTCTAAATCAAAGACCAAAATATTATTTTTAAAAAATCATACATCTATGATTCATTTACTGTTAACTTGTCAACCCTTTTTCTCTTAGCCACTTATACCGTGTCTGGTAAAATCTTGCAAAAATCTATACATCACATCAATTAATTTAACTTCCCTATTATTTTGAACTTTAAACTATCCTTATTATTTTCTTATCTATATGTTTAGTTAAGAAAAATAAATCCCTCGACTATGTCTTTAATTTAACTGCAGTTGCAGACAGTGCAAATAAGTTCACAGATGTCCATCTTTCATACACCGTGCACGGGTACACCAAATTTCCAATTATACGTTTGATTAGTCAATTGAAATCTTAAGTAACAAGTCGTTCCTTTCTTTCCTTGCCAGAGATTTCACGAATTCAGCATATTTTACGTTGCAATGCCAATACCAGACATTTTTTTCTCAATAACTGGCTTCTTATTGTGTCTTTCAATGCTCAAACAGTTGGAGAACAAAACTTTCAATGTGTGGGTTCACGCAACCAATAAATTTCTCAGGTACGTATTGATGTGTGAACACAGAGTAGTTTCGTATAACTTGTTTCATATGCAGCAAATATTGAAACATATGTGTGACCTTTAAGAGCAGTTGGAGAAGCAGGATTAACCTTATGATGTGTTACGGGAAAATCTTTAGAATGAGCGTGAGGGTATTAACAGATGATTGGCCAGGAAAGAAATTGAGAAAAGAGTAGACTAACTTTATAACCCGATATATTCCGAAAGTGTATAGACGATAAAGCTACTTGAAAGCAGAGAGAGTAATAGGAAATTGCAGGATAGAGAGGGTCATCTTTTTCACCGTTTACGTCAACCTCCAGAGTAAAAAAGTATGGAAAAAGACATGGATGTTACTTGTGATGTCTTCAAACACTTGTAAAAAGTATTGTAAGAAAAAGGTACAATTCGATTCCAACGTCACATATTTTTCCAAAAATTGGAGTAATTTAAGATTTTTAGAGGATATTCATAAAATAGTGTACATAGTTAGGCACTGGACTTTCAACTACTGACAGACAGGAAAAAGGTTGAGCTCTTGATGAATTAACAATTTTAGGTTTTTTTAATGACTCCAGAGAGCTTATAGCGACTCGTTAATTTTTGCCCTTGTAGGACCTGTGTAAATGTAACTGAAAGTCCTTGATGTTACGATTTTTCTTTTTTATTCCCATCATGATCAAATTTATATCGAAACTTTTTTTTTCATCACTACTTTTCAATAACTTGATTTTTTGATCAATGCTGGATACAAGAAACGGCAATTCTTACTAGAATGTTAAATAAAATTTTGAAAGAATCAATTCTTTTGAACACGCTCGTTTGACTTCTTTTCCAGAGTTATGCCTGCGTACATGTTCGTGCTGGCTTACTTCATCTTCATTTTTCCGCACTCAGGCGATGGTCCTTTATGGAAAACTACAACCGCAGCAGACTTGAAATACTGTCACAAAAATTGGTGGATGAATCTTTTGTTCATCAATAACTACTTCAATCTAGGCGAATGGGTATAAAATTACATAATTTAATTCGCTTTTTGCCAATGTTTGTAATCTTTGATAATTTTTTTCTCTTATTCTTCTTATTTTCTTATCCTCTCCATTACAGGAACGAGCTAGTCTTACAAATTTACCCTAGAGTTTCGGCAGGCCCGATGTTTTCTTTCTACTACTTTCTTGCAATTAGAAAACATGTTTTGCTGTAAGGAATCATTAACTTCTTGCTATTGCTAAATCAACACTTTACCTCTATTTGAGAGGGTATTAAAGTGAAAATTATTTTGACAGATTTTAATTGGTCGACAGACAAAATGGCATTCTGCACGTAAAACGCAAACTCTTGCCACACAAGCAGAGGAATGAAATCTATTCCCAAAAAATATGTAGGCACCTCATTACATAAAAATTTACCCATGAGAATGAATTTTTTGTCAGAATTGAATATTTGGTAGTTAGCCAGTTTGAGAAATTATTCCTTCCGATCACACGAAGTCGTTGAAGAGGACGAAGTCTTTTGGTTCTTCTCGATCAAACAAAGGTATTCCACATAGGTATGCATTGTGACTGTAGCATACGCCAATCAGTAATGTATGTCTGATTAGTCAGATAGTTAGTTAATTAATTAAGACGATCAGCAAGGAGGCCATTTACGTCGAGGACCAGGGATTTACCTTAAATTTTAAGATTTACTTGTTTAAAGAGCTTTAAATTTCGGTGTTTCGTGCTTACTTTTGGATCATCAGAGATAAATAAATGGGTGTTTGGAGGGAAGTAATTTTGAATTTTGATACGTCTGAGTATTTCACTCTTACTTTATGTGATATACATGTATTTACCGGATTCTCAACACGAATTATTGTCGCGTTTGATTACAGTGTCTCCCGCATTTTTACTACATTGCCGCCGATGTTCACTTCTTCATCGTGGGTTCCATCATCGTCTTCTTGTGTTGGCGCTGGAAGTCACTCAAGTGGATTATCTTGGGGTCTGCTCTCATTTTGAGTGCTTTAATTCCATTCACAATCACGTATCTCAATCGATATGAGGGCCTCGTGAAAATTTATGCTGAGTAAGAAGAAAACGTATTCCTCGTGAACGAAATTAACACTTCTCTGTTCATAAATATTTACTCTTATTTATTTCTGTTAGTACTAATTTTGTTCAATCTGTGTTCTAATATTTTAGTCGAAATCAGAACGAGTTACATTTAATTGAATCGACTTTCACAAAATAAAAATACAACTTTTTTGCAGGTATAATAGGAATTCTTTGGAGAATTAAATTTTCCAGAAAGTTAGTAAGAGACTAGAAAAATCTGAAGATACTTTTCAACCTCGGTGGCAAAAAGAAAAAGTGAGTGTCCTCATCATAGACCCAGGAAGCAAAACATGTTTCATTCTATCTTAAATAAAGCAATCATATCAATTTTACTTCGTGGTTTAAGAGTAGATAATGGTACTTAATCAGAAAAACCTCGTTATCAAGAAAATTGAAGATAATGTATACTGTCTGGACACGCAACTTATGCCTTTTTATGTATATTTGGCTGCGAAGCTTCGAAATGACCTTGGTTTTTCTCTATCATGCGCCAGATTTTCGAGAAATTTAAGTATTCCCTGTAAAAGTCAATTTTTAGAAAATATTAGATTGTTTAGAAATTTGGTATGTATGAAAAAGAGAAATCAAAGCATTTTCCAACCTAGGGCAAAAACATGCTGGCATTAATACACTAATGTAAAAATGTATACAAGTGTCTGACGTAATTTTCAATGCTGACGACTTGCAATGTATTTTTTTCAGCCTATCGTAGACGAATCTTTAATACTAATGCATTTTACTATGCCGACGGATGCTCCAACGTTCTTTCAGATTTCGGGTTTCAAATAAAGCGTTCTCCCACACTCTCGATTTTGTGATGAATTTTAATTTTTTAGTAGATAACGTCTCACTCATAACATTTTTCTAGTTTTTATCGGAACATGAGGAATCATAAAATGCTTACGGATGTCAACATGAAAAGTCACAACCGGTTTGGAGGCTACATGATCGGAATCGCAGGCGCATTTTGGATGAGACATCTTCAGGCAGAACGGCGCCCGCTTTCAAAAGTGAGTGTTTTAACAATTCATAGAAAAACATCGATGAACACAGCAGGATTTTAGCACAATTTTTCATGTCTTTTTAGGTCAAGATACGGGGTTCGTGAGTTAAAGAGCCTCGTCCCTGAGCTCGAATCCGTTACCGCTGACGTCGCTGACGCTTTATAATTCTCGTTCATTCTTAAGGCCCTTAACTAATGAGCACTCCCCTTTTTCCACCTGTCTGTGGTTCTGTGTAGCACAATTACGTCCACTGGACCCCTTTTAGGGATATAAACTTCAGAGTGAAATTCACTCTTGATTTCACTCCGAAATATCCAAAATGTAATCAGCATAAAGGTATCGTTTAATTAAAAATGGTTGTGTCAACTGTGTCATTTTGAAACATCATTTAGTCAAATGACTGTTTAATCACAAAACCAAGGAATTAAGTCTACAAGGTCTCCGCCAGAGCATTATGAGGCAAAGCTATGATGCGCCTTCAAAATGACTGTGCGTATGAGTTACTTGATGTATGTCTGATTGCAGGCTGGAGCTTGGGCAGGCGTTTTTATTGGTGTCATAATGATTGCTGCCATCACAATCGCCAGACATTTGCTCCATCTTCCCACTACCGAATATAATGTTACCATACATGCATTATTTGCTGGTCTGAACACTCAAATTCTATGTGCGGGTGTCATCACTATTGCTGTGATCCAAATAACTACAGATTTTGGTAAGACTAAAATTATAGCACCTTGTCAAAGAAGCTAGTCATAATCACAAGAACGGTCAGAAATTAAAAATATGTAATTGTTACCCCTTTAATTTTCTTAGAAAAATCCCTTGTAAAAAGAAAATAAGGAATTATTCAGAAATGTTGTGTAGTGTGGAATTGAGGGTGGTGTGAATTCAATTTAACGAGGGCATCACACTTTTGGGCTCCTCCTCCTAAATAGAACCTTGGAGCAAATACACGTGGCGGGGAAAAAATTCATGATAAGTTAAGTTTTTAACTCCATGCTGCGCGTGTTGTTTGATAGATTCATTTTATACGCAAAAATTCAGCCCTACTTCTATAAAAAATAATCTAATGTCAAAAAAAATTGTTATTTAAAAAAAATTGATTTTAAAATAAAAATCAAATTTATAATTGATGCTCATTTCCGCATTCAAGGAATCAAGATGTTGCGTACCTAGTTTGTTCATTTAGGCGTATATCATGTGAAAATCAAAATGTTGCCACCTTCCTCAATTAGAGTCAATTTTTGAGTGTTTTTTTCACTTTCATTATTTTTCCATTGAAATTGAAAACATGGCGTGTGATGGGATGCATTAACTTCGACTGTATATAACAAGTCACCGCACGATAAACTATTTAATATTATGCACAATATTTTTTCTCCACCATGTTTGTCTCCTCATTGGCTAAGATTAAGAGGTGAGAAATGATTTTCGATTTCTATGTTTATTTCATTTACTGTTTGTAATTAATTTATTTTAGCACCCATAAGCATATTTACGTGCGAGGTCAACATGCTATTCAGAAAACCATCGCTCATAGATACTATTCAAAGAAATCGATTAGTGCAAAATTTAACAATTCTTAATCGTTTGGATTAATCAATACGAACACTCTTAAATATATAAGGCATATAGAAGTAATAATTAAAAACAAGTAGTGATCATAACTAAGATTTTCGAGATTCGATGGAATTTATTATTAACATTGCTCAGTCCCTAAAAATGCCGAATTTTTTCCTCATGTTTTAAGGTGCATTGGATTCTTTGTTTCTGACGCAAAACATTTTCCCGCCGATCAGTAGACTTAGTTTTTGGGCATTTCTCATCAATATACCACTGATTATGAATAGAGTTGGCTCCTACAAAACTCATATCCACATCACTCATGAAGACATGGTAAGTCAGATTAAAACGGAACTATGGATTAATTGTTTAAACATTTTAAAGAATGCAACTAAAATCAATTTTTTTCTCCCTTTATCGAAAGCTTTTAGAATTCATTTCGTATAAAAACTAAATGTAATTACGAAAAAATTGAGGGACAGGCAAATACCAGACCGTCTAGCAGTGTAAAACCTTTTAAATTACCGAAAAATAAATTTAAAATGATGCAATAGCTTAAGGCTCATCATTTTCTGCTGGTAAATCTCTAGATGGTTATAACTATTGTCCAGTTATTAAATTTACCCTTTTCTTAATTGGAGAAACAGGATAGAGACATTTTAGTAATAGGAGAGAATAACAAAAAAGAGAATCAGTAAATCTGGAAAATATACTTTCGTACTGCACAAGAGGAAACTAAAATTCACTTCAACGAAGACTTTACGTGTCTAATGTGTGTAATGGTGTTGAAAATGGGTATCCTATTTTACAAAAATAACGTTGGCGTTGACTTACTTTTGAATAATTTAATTATTTTAACGCAAATGTCACATACGCTGAATTTTTTCTGTTGTCCTTTTGTTCTTTTAATTTGTCTTCCACACATCTCTCATATCAATGTTTTGGCCCTTTTTTCTAGGTATATGGAGGCCAGTATTGGGGTGATGTCCCACTGACATATTTTCTTTCACTTTATTGTCACTTACTGATTGATGCACCCATCAGCTATATAAAACCGATTATCCTGAAGTACCTATCGAGAAAGCAGTTGCAAGTTGACAAAAAAGAATGATGCAGGAGAAGACAAAATTTTGTGAAACACTTCGCGAACTCGAGGCATGCATACTCATTCATCTTTCAATTTTTGGTGATCTTTTATAACCAATTTTTACATCCAAACCAAAGTGTTTTAAATTAGTCAAAAAAGAGGGGAAACAGGAAGAAAAAAAAAGGGGGGCGTAAAACGTGACTGAAATTAATCAAGTTGTAGAAAAAATACTAGATGTCAAAAGAGAAGTACATTTTTGAGACAGTGATTCCGTTATAGGAAAGAGAAATTACATTGTAATCAAAATTCTATAATGAAAATTCGGATTCATAATACATTATTTATTTTTCGAAATTGAGATTTGCAGTTTTTATGATAAGGACCCTTAGTAATGATAATATTTCTGAACGGTTAGTGTTAAAGCTTTTGCGTGGTTTAATAGTTTGTGACTTTAAAAGGTGCACGATAGTTTACAATTTTGACATGAGTTAAATTATATGCATGTTACTTTTCAGTTAATAAATTGCATCTCTCTGCTCGCAAACTTTTAACTTTGAATCTGTGATGAAGATCTTCCTAAGTTGCGAAATAATATATAATTTATTATATCTCACTCTGAGCATATGCAATTTCTGAATGTACACAGCATTCATGGAGGTTTTCATTAGCCATCTTTACAAGAATTTGATAGTTCCATGTAGGCAGAGCGAAATAAAGTAAAAGTACTTACATGAATTTTGCAGAGTTTCGCCTATATGATGTAAAAACACATCGTTGTAAAGTCCTACATCTCCTTCAATGCTAACTCTCCAAATTCTTTGCTACAAAATAAGAAGTTTAAAAACTATTATCGCGTGAAACTCAAACCCTTTGATTGCGACACCCTTAACAAAAAGATACCACTTACCAAAAGAATGCAGTTCGAAATTTCTCGTTAGTCACCTCCCATTTGGACTGAGTTAAGCAGAAAGGAACCAACCCACATTATGGAAAAAATTGAGTTATGAATGGTTTTGAGCTCAACCATACTGCTCTACTATCTATTGCCAAAAATTCAAAGTTTTTGTTGGAACAAATTTTGCAGAAATTGAACTTGAAGTTTATCTTTTACATTGAGTCTTATGCAGGAGCCAAACTTTAAACCTCTTTTTCTCGGTTCGATCCCGATGTGGCTTGGTTCGTTTCTGTTTAACTCTGTCCATTTATGGTATAACGTTAAAAGAACCACGAATAAGAAGTTCGAATGGTCATCGACTCCACTGTCGATTCTAAAATGATTTTTTCATATACAGTATATGAACAACATTGTCATGTCAACATTGTTATAGAATAGAGTCGATAGGCATTATAATACCACCTTGACCCCTGGTCACTGTCTATGAGCAGAAATTGCTCGCAAAAATGGGATGGCCTCAGTCTCTTATTTATTGGCATAACGAGCTGTTTCTAGAAGGATTCATACTAAGAATTTATAATAAATAAATGATGCAGATAAGGGTTGATTAAAAAAAAATTCATGCCAAACGCAGCACCTTCAAAATCCTCTCAATCAGCAGGAGGACTCCTCAGGCAACTATCATGTCGAAATTCGGCATTGAAATGCAATGACATCATCTGTCTCAAGTCTGTTAAGTATTGAGGCTTAACCTTAGGTTGCTGATTGCTTTAAGATATCCCATTTGGTTCTAAGACTATTCCTTTCACACAGCAACATACATCGACGGCGTAGGTCCGCAACTACGCCCAAGCAGCATTTTTCAACGGAAAAATCGCGATATAGTGCGATTTTATCGGCGATAAAATCGCTAGGATCATCAACATCTAAGCAATCATCCTCGATCTTGTTGCAATATAATCACGATTTTCTTGCCCGGCAATTTATCGCGATATAATTGAAACAAAAATCGCGATATATAGCGATTTAATCTCGATTTTATCAACGAAAATTCATCGCGATTTTATCGAGCAAAAAATTGCAATTCATAGCGATTTAATCGCCATAAATCGCAATTTTTCATTTGATAATATTGCGATAAATTGCCACCGATATAATCGCGATAATCATCCGATAAAATCGATGTTTATCGCAATCACTGCTACTTGGGCGTATGTTGTTTGCGGTGTTTGAAAATCTGCGATTTTACTTTATTTTTTTAAACATGATCAAATCGACATCATTCCTTGATATTTTTGCAGAATTTTCCTCGTGCAGAGAAGAAAAATCACAGCAGTTTTCAAGAACTGCCGTTGAATGGTTTATCATTTAAAAAACGAAGTATGACAGGAAGCCTGCGATGTCGCAAACCGAAATACGTGGTTACGGACTTACACCGTCGACATGTCAGTTTTGCCCAAGCTTCTGGCGGCATAATAAAATGCACTCCATTGATCCACGTCCATTATGGGACTCAGAAAAAAAAAAAACTTTGGTTAAATCTTCACGATACCATGTTCCCTTTTCGAGCTACGTTCCAGATAGAATGTCCAAGGTGGGAAATTAACTGATTATGGAGGTATTAATATTATCGCTTACAATCGATTGACTTAAGGATATCAAATTATGTTTAATCACTGTAAACAATAAACACTTCGTCAAATAAAAGAGGCTTATGCTCACAATTTCCATTCTGTTCCTCCTCTTTAACGCCATATTTTAATGATAAAAAAAACCATCCTAGTGTTGAAACTTGCACTTTGTCTGAAGTCCCAACATTCTCACTTCTAGGCCACACGTAATATTTTTCCCCTGAGGCCTTGTCCCCACGGGACGTTTCATGGGATTTGTTCCCGGGAAAAATCTCACTTGCGAAGTTGGGAAAATTTTAAGTTTGTCTATACAAGTCACAGTACCAACTAAGAGTCCTTATGGAGTTCCAGGAACGATTTAAAAAGAAGAAAAAACTTTGTCGTGTTAAACGGGAAAAAATCCCAGAAGTTTCATTCCTGCGACTCGAACTTGGGAATAATCCCGTGAAACATCACGTGGAGACAAGGCGAGAGAGAGACTGTATTTCTTGACATTTACTCTACTCCGCTAGCGAGACAGTCCCAGATAACACAATTGGTGAAGCACTTCAACATCAGAAGACCGCCACCGGAATTACCGCCTCCCGGCGGGGGTGGCGGGGGCGGTCTTGAAGGTGCCTGCTGTACGAAGAGACCAAGAATTGGATTGGAAACCGGGGCAGTCGGTCTAGGAGTGCTACTAGGATTACCCGGATTCAGCAAGCAATCGAAGAGACACGGTATACATCTTGCACCGCTCGGCCTGTGGGGTTGGCCCTCCGGTGTTTGCCGAGTGATTCGCGACTTCTTAGGTCCTGAACCATCAGTCTCAGTTCCATTGATCGCGCGGGCAAACCGAGAAACGCTTTCCTCTTCTTGAGACTCCCTCCTCTTCTTCTTTCGGAAGGCAGTATCTCTAGCGGCTCTTGAACTCATCTGCTCTGGATCAGACGAGATCGGCGTGCCTTCCCCTGATGTTTGCTCTTCCTCTCCTTGAGAATCCCTCCTCTTCTTCTTTCGAAAGGCAGTGTCTCTTGTAACTCTTGAGCTTTTCCGCTCTGATTCAGACGCAATCGGCATGTCTTCTTGTGATATTCCTCCTGCCTCTTCTTGGGACTCCCTCCTCTTCTTCTTTCTGAAGGCAGTGTCTCTCGTGATCCTCGAACCCTCTCGCACCGAATCAGACGCAATCGGTGTGCCCTCCTGTGATATTTCCTTCGAGTGATCAAAAAACTTCTCCCATTCCTCTGCGATCGATGATAAGTTCGGATCAGCCTTTCTAGTTACTCTCGCGGTATCCTTGCCCATGTCATCCCGTACATTCCGCAAACCGATTTCGCCCGCTACCTGGGAAACAGACTCTCCAAACTCTCGCCAGAGCTCAGGAAGACTCGATCCTGAGAGATGGTCAACGACTTCTCTCGCCACCCTAGGAGCATATTTTTCTAAGTTTTCCGAGATATTCGTTGTATCAAACAAACCAACTTCTCGCACCATTCTCGAGACAGACTCTTCAAACTGTTTCCAAAGTTGAGAAACATCGTCTTCACGTTGATTCTCAGTGTGTCTGTTCACTCTTGAAGAACCTCCTTCTGGGTCCTCCCGGGCAGTCGTTGAGTTTGAAGAACCGTCTTCTCGGGCTACTCTCGAAATGGACTCTTCAAAGTCTTCCCTAACCTGAGAGGAACTTGATTCTGTCGACGTGGCATGCACAGAATTTTTATCGGCTTGTCGGCGCACTCTTGTCCTTGGAGATGCATTTGATGAATCTGCCTCGGAGATTTCTCTCGAGACAGAGTTCTTAAGCTCATTCCAAAGCTTAGAGAGGCTATCTGCATATTCGTGGTCAATCTGTCTGGTCACTCTCGAAGCAGCCTCTCCCAATTCTTTCAGAAGGTCAGATAGACTCAGTTCTGCTGTCGTATCAGATGCAGAGTGTTGTTCAGCTTGCCGACGCATTCTCGAATTTACCGACGCATTTGACAGCTCAATCTTTTGGGCTGCTTTTGAAATTGAGTCTTCAATCTCATTCCATAACTTTGAGAGACTCTCACCATACTGGTGGTCTGCATGTCTGGTCACTCTTGGGGCAGCCTTTCCCAAGTCCTCTAGGAAACTCGTTTCATTGGATAGACCTACCTCTCGAGCTATTCTTGAGGTAGACTCCCTAATTTCCTCCCAAATCTGAGAAAGACTCGGTTCTGTAATCGCTTCAGGCACCGAACGGTGGTCGGTTTGCCTGCGCACTCTAGGATTTGGTGCTACATTTGGTGAGCTAGCTTCTCGGGTTGCTTTCGAAACAAAGTTCTCAAACTCATTCCAGAGTTCTTCATACTGGCGGTCAGTTTGTCTCGACACTCTCGAAACAGCCTTTCCTAAATTCTCCCAGAGACTCGTTGAGTTGTCCAGACCAACTTCTCGAGCCACCCTTAAAACGGACTCTTCAAGTTCTTGCCAAAGGTGGGAGAAACTCAGTCCTGAGGTCGGATCAGACGCAGAGTGTTGGCCAGCTTGCCGGCGGACTCTCGCACTTGACGATGAAGTTGGTAAACCACGCTCTCGGACTTCACCTAAAACGGAGTCCTCAACCTCATTCGAAAGCTTGGATATTCTCTCTTTATGATGTTGATTAGCCTGTCTGCTCACCCTCGAGGCATCTTTTTCCATACCCTCATAAAGACCCGTCGAATTTGTCTGACCAACTCCTCGCGCTACTCTCGAGATTGACTCTTTGAATTCCTCCCGGAGTTTCGAGGTGCCAGGTGCAGAGTTCTCATCAGCATGTCGGGCTGCTCTTGTAGCATCCTGTGATTCAGATGAGGGTTGCAGACCGGATGCCTGCTGAGGGGCGGAATGCCGTGTCATCCTTAGCAATTCATTCCAGAACTCAACCACATCATTGGGCTGAGGATCTTCAAGGGCTACTCTTGAGACACTCTGTACAAAACTGTCCCAATGTGTCGCATCGTGTGGTGGATCCACTTGTCGGGAGACCCTGGTCAGGCTGTCCTCTATGCCTTGCCAGACAGATGCCTTGGATATTGCGTCTGTGTCGTCCTGTGCAATTCGAGCCAATGTTTGTGTAAGTTCTTCCCAGAAGTGTGTTACATCTGCCGCAGGCTCTGAGACGGTCTCTGGAGATTCTCGCGTTAGGCTGTTTTCTAGTTTTTCCCATATATCCGTCAGGCCTGGCTCAGGTGATTCTATAGACCGTCGAGCGGCCCTTGGTGCACTCTCTCCATGCTCGTTCGGAAACTGTGATGATCCTGGGTCGAGGTTTGGGGCCCCCTGTTGGGCTACTTTTTGAGCATGTCCCTCCTCGCTTGTATCCTTGTGTGAAGCTACTGCTGCGCCGGAAATCTGCAACAGAAAAGATTTAAAATATTATTAAATAATGATCGAAATAATAGAGAATTTGCACATGTCTAAAATATGATAAATTTCGTAATTAAGTGGAAACTACTGAGTGAACTGGACACGAGGATACTCTTGGTTCATGAATTCAATAATTATTGGAGAAGATATGACAAAATGGTCTAATATGCTAATAAAGGTACGTGTGTTTCAATGGAAAGTGCCGCCAGATGACGTCACTAGGCGGTGTAATTTCTCTTCTTTAAATCTATTTTTACACTATTTTCCATATCAGAAGAAAATTATAGAAAATACTGTGAATCAGCTCTTTTAGGTATTTTTGGGTCAATCAGGTATTTTCACATGAAGCCATATTAAATTTGCATGCAAATTCTCCATTGTGTATAGGAATCGCTGCTTTGGATCTCTTAGTATTTTTACAGAGTGCGCACATGCACTGGAAAAAAACACATTGGATCTAGAGTCCAGACTCTTAAAAACATCGACAAGAAAAAAAACTCTTGATTTAATCAGATTTAAGCTTAAATCAAGAACCAAGCCTCTTAATTTGAGCAGATTTCCTTTTGATTTAAGCTTAAATCTGATTTAATCAAGAGTCCTTTTTCTTGTCAATGTTATCAAGAGTCTGGACTCTAGATCCAATGTGATTTTTTCCAGTGTACATATTATAATTAGACAAATCGTTATGAATGTACGGTCTACTTTGTTACCCTCCGTATACATATAGATGGAATATTTTAAGCCAAAAGGACAGTTTCAACTGAACTGAATCCAGTTTACCCCAACTGTCAAGCTCAGTAGCCCCCTCAAAACGTTGGTTATGGAAAAAAGAACTTCCTACTGACCTACAACCATCCTTCAGATTTCATTTCTCTTAGTCCACCCGTTTGCAGATTACGAAGAGCGGAATGCCTTTTTGGGCTGTTTTAAGGCAGTTGTATTTTTTGTGTAAAGAAAAAGACATTTTGGATAGCTATGCGGATTCGGTTCTCTTGTGTCTACACGCCTCAAGTAGTTTTACAGGATTTCATCGATAGATGGCTGAGATATTTGTCAATATACTCGTATGCCATTTTTAGAAAAAAAATGGCGATTTTAAAAACCAATGCCGCATTCGATTTTCTCCTGCCGAATAATCTCAGACACCGACTATGATGCAAATCCATGGGTAAAAAGCTTGTGCACTCGTTATCTCCTCGTTAACCACCATTGTTACGGCCGCCATTTTAATATTATTAGAAAAATTTTGTGCCTGATGTTTTATTTTTATTTTTATCTCAAAGTTCGCTCTTTTTAACGAAAAAACTTTTACGTTGTATAATGCTGAATAGGTATATAATATGCAGACGATCATCCGTCGATTTTAAAAACAGATCAGAAAGATCTGAAAAATAATGAATTTGTTTACCAAAAGCCTACCTTGTACTTTCACACGCAAACTTTCAAAATTTAAAATATGCTTCTTTCGAATCAGCTTACTAACCGATGGGAACCTACTAAAAGTGGGAATCCTTTAACGTTTCCATGAATTACTATTGAACCCTAGAATTTGTCCAAAGAAAAATAATATAAATTTCTATGAGGATATATTCCTCCATACCTCGAAAATACAGTATATACCTTGTTCTGATCTGTAAAAGTCATCTGAAGAAGTTACGACATGAATGTACCCAACAAATATTTTCTAAACTTACCTTCTTTTTTAGTTTTTTGGTGGAGAGTATTCGGAACATTTAATTCTTACTGCAATAATTGTTTACTGCCCTTGGAATTTTATACTTAGCCGGGTCGAACTTCATGATACTGTAATTTGACGTAGGATGACGTGTTGTAATACTTCAGTAATGATATTATTTAAATCCCACCTCGATTTCCTCTCAAGGAATATAAATTAAAATTGAAAAGCAGAATTCGGACTATGTGTGAAAAAATGGTAATTGATAGCAGTATGAAGAGAGTCAAAATATAGTGATATTAACTTTAAATCGCTACCCAAAGTATGATTATAGATTGAAGGACGACGTCATTTTGGTGAAATACCACTCTTCAAATATACAAAAACTATTCTTAGATAATTATCTGCAGCGTTTACCAATATTCGCATCAATATGAGCAGATTGATTTTAGTCAAACTCTAACGAAAACCTTCCCTCGTGCAAAAACAGATGATGTGGCTTTAACTGTAATGGGGCGAAATCTTGCCGAATCAAATCCATGTTTTGCATATGGCCCGACACTATGGTTCATAACAGAATTCGTGATATTCATGGTAAGTATAACTGTATACATGCTTTTATTTACTATGAAAATATTAGATTGTAGCCAAAGTTAATTTGAGTTTTTAGTGATGCAACTCTGACCATGTCCTTGCGGATAAAACCATAATTTTTTTTCTCCATATTTCAAATGATAATGGTCAATTTTGTAACGACGAAATTAAAACAAACAATTGGAAAGTTGACCTATTTGTGGCAGTGAGCACACATTGAAAAGAAATCATATCGTCACAAGATATTTTTCCTTGCGTTGCCTGCCTGTTAATAACTTTTACACAAATCAGATTTTTTATTCATTCTGTTGAGGCAATACCTTCTCTCCTTTATTCATATCGATGACCAAAGTGAGGAGTCACGTACCTCCGTTTTTGCGGTGATTAAAAATTTCCGCTCTTATTTTATTTCTTCAAAGAGAGACAAGCCAACTTTATATCTTCCATAATGAAAGCAAAAAATTGAACTAGAAGTAGATTTACTTGCAGAAAAAATTATTTCGTGTTCCACTCATCGTTGATTTTTCATCATTGTCTCGTGTTTTTTTATGACTTGTAAAAACGAATTTTAGACTTCCTTCTTAAGATTGACAATGTTGACGTAAAAATAATTTGTGACCCTCCCCTCTTCTCCAAAAAAATCGTTAAGATAAATCTATAAACCGTAGAAGAAGCCTATAACTATAGATAACTTACCGCAAATGGCTCCAAAAAGAATGCTATAAAGAATCCAATCTTTAAAATTATTCCGGAATCCATTTTTCGCAATGACTACGCGAAGCCGCGACGCACTTGAAAAATCAGATTGAACTAGTCACTTTTTGAGGCACAGCCAGTAATTTTATCCGTTTTACGAGTTGAGAGTGAGTAATTAGCAGCTTTGGTCACTCAACAAGTCGTAAATCGGCTCTGTTTTTCCCATTTAGAGTGGAAGAAAAGAAAACTGAACGGTGTATTAGTATCACATTAGAACACAGTATGAAGTTATAGTTTACCATGCGGCCGATAATCCGCTAATATTATATTGAGTTTAATTGTCAAACAAAATCTCCTTCTTTTTCTGTATTTCAATTATTTTTGACGAAAAAAAACATTGCTAAATTGCAAACAAAATCAAGTCACAATTCCCCTAGAAGTTATTAAGAGAATGAAAAACTTTCAGTCCTGTTCTTTCAAAACTTAAGTAATGCTCGAAAAAACAACTATTGGTAGTCACCAGTACAGGGCCAGATTAAGGGGGTGGCCATATGGGCTGCGGCCCATGGCGGCAAATCTATAATTTTGCAATTTTTTTAAATGTAGGTATAAAAAAAATTCGGATTTAGAAAAAAAAATTACAAACGAGGAAAGGCGACAAAAGCTCTAATTTTCTGAGAGTATAGTAATTTCTACTTTTGTCGTCTTTCAGGGATGCAAGAGGCAGCACCTTTCATTATTCGAGTTAAGAAAGAAACCAAACACGCTATTTGGCCTGGAACGGCGCGACTTACCCAGAGAGAAATGATGACGAGGGCTTGAGATGAAAAGGAGAAGCCCTCTGCGCGACGATCGGCATGTAACACATATTAGCGCCTACAAGACTGCACGAGTATTTCACGCATTGCATCAAACACGGTGCGGTCATTGCGGAGTTGCGGACGGCGTGAAACGGATAGCGCCTACAAGAATGCATGAATACCTCACGCATTGCGGCAAACACAGTGCGATCAGCGGGAGACGCATAGCGCCTACAAGACTGTCGGAATACTTCACGCATTGCGTCAAACACAGCGCGGTCTCCGAGGCGCGGCGGCGGAAGTTAAAATCATTAATCTACATTTATGTTTGTTCTTTCATAATTTTTTCGTTCATTTCTTATGAGTGGAAAGCCTTGTCCACACAGAGATAGGTTTACGAAACTTAACTTTCGCGCAAAGTTCCGTGAACTTTTGCTAGTAGTGTTGACAGGGCTTTCCCAAAAAATGTGTTCAACACCAATAAACGCGTCTCATGCACCCCTCCCCCGCTAGCACGTTCATTTGTTGGTTTTCATTGATGTTTCAAAACGAATGAGAAGGGGGCCGCGAAATACTAGCGGCCCATGGGCGGCAAGTAGGTAAATCCGGCCCTGCACCAGTAGGCTCGTTACATTTGTTACGAAATAGAAGGTAAACTTCAAATGGGTGATACCCGCATCAACTAAATGCCCGGAATCGTTTATCAGATTGATCAAATTTTACGGAGCGGGGTAAATGTGCGTTTTTAATAGACAACTATTCTCTCCTCCCGGTAGGTTTGTTGCCTATGCACAAAATTGAAAGCGAACTCTGAATGGAATGAAGATTCAAGTAATCAGCCGAAACACATGATAACATACCAACTTAGTTACAGTAAAGGCTGTACAACAAATGAATTCTGAATGGAACATTCCCAAAAATAGGCTCACAGCATCCTTCACTGGCTAAATCAAAATTTATTGAGCTATGTGAATCGGTTGTATTCAAAAGGGAACAAGTCCATTTTTGCATGAGCCTTGAGTTGCATAAAAGGACATACTAACTGAGACCCATCAAAAAATGGACCTGTTCCTTTTTGAAAACAACTGCTGCATATAAATGTGAGGTTAGGAAATATACATTGCAAATTGTAAACTCTCCCGTCCATTTTTTCACTCTGTTCCTCCCCTTCTTCCTTTCCTCCCATTTTATTTTTTCCCTCTCTCTTTCTCCTTCTATTGAACAAGTACCAATAGGTCACTTTATAGTACTCCCTCGCGCTCTACGACACCTAACCTCCACTGCTCTCTGTCGAATCGCAACCCTCGGAGCATTGAGCACCTTAACATTTCAGCAGAAATACGTACAATTACAACTTAAAATTGGACGTATTTGTGCTAAAAGGAACTATGGGGCATATGTTTTGTGTGCAATTTAGTTCCTTCTATCATAAAAACGTCCAAATACTGAAATGTAGAGCGCAGATTATTGCCTAATTTCTTTTATTTGTCCCATAAAATAACCCAAACGGGATTATAAAATCGTCACGTTTCTCAACACTTGAACACATTTTGGACAAAACCCCGCGTTACTCGTAGGTATCAATCGTAAGATATTCAGATTAAACACCTTACATATCTACCGACCGACTTCAAAATGACGAGTTGAATCTGAGCTGTCTCGGATAATCTTCAGTTCATACATTCATCTTTATACAGAGAAAGATATCCAGCCAAATTTCAAGTGCCCACGCACATTCAATTGCAAGAATTCATTGCGATGTAATATTCAGGTGAGCGAGCTCATCTAAACACACTTTAAAAGAAATCTTTGAGAGGGACTTCACATCTGCCAAACTGGGCCGCGATTTGACTACCTAAAGGCGGCAAAACGTGCTTCAAAAAAACTGTTCACCTGACAACTCTCCTCCGTGTACAAAACGAGCACACTGAAGCAGTAAAGCGTTATTATCTTGAATAAAACAATAAATTAAGGAATAAAATAAAATAGATTTTTTTTCCTATTAGGAGTAACTTTCCGTATCACAATAGGCCTTTTTTTAAAATCAAAGCGCGAAGTGAAAAATGTTGGAACTTACCTGGACGATTCTCCTATCTGTGGGTCTGATACATCAAACTTCCGGATCGGACTATCTAGCCGAACTTTTGAAAAAGCATCCAACCTGGTCGGTGAGTTCTTCCTTGAGATTCTAATCTTCACTCGTTACCCTAGAAGGTAGGAAGTCACCGTCTTCCCTTTGAGTAGTCATTAATTCTTATTAGTTATTAGGTAATGCGTCCCCGTGCTGAGCGAAGCTTGACGAAATCTAGCCGAATAAAAGTGCCAATAAAATGTTTGTGGTTGACTTCTTCGTTATACCCATATCAATGGAGCTTCATTTTTTTTATTTTTATCTATATTCATGTTGGTCGTGGAATGTTTTATTTCTCTTTTAAAAAAAACAATAGTTTGATTCAGGGGAATTTTTATTTTATTATTTTTAATAACAGTTGCTTTTATAGGCTACATTTTACCCTGAAGTCAAATATCTTTTTGAGGAGCTACAGTTATTACTAATTTGATTTCTTCTATTCCTAGATTGGGTGAAACTATTGTTTTCTAAGTCTGAGGTGGATTTTCTGTTAATAATGTCACTCTTAATCGATTTTTCTCATTCCATTTCATTTTTCCATTTTTAATTATATGTTTAATTTTAATTCATTTAGAAAGTTCCTCAGTCACGAGCCAATTTTTAACTTTTCGCATGTTTACTTTCCACACCGTCAAAAATCGAAACAAAATGTATCTCCCTTTTGCAGCGTAAAATTGAACATTAGAGCTCGCCTTTAAGTTACCCACCGGTGTCAGTGCAATGCTCTGGCAACTTAAATTAGAACTTGAAATGGCAAGCCGTTTTCACATTAGGTCGCTACCACTTCTAAAATAATTGGCAAGATGTCATGCCTTGCGGACTTAGGAGGTTAATTATAAATTCCGATAATAATTTTACAGCAAAAGACCAGCGAATGTCGTCTCGTAACTTATAAGTAAAATTTACGATTTTTTAAATTTTTAAAATCGAAAGCGCTGTTCTTAGATAGTTTTAGTGATCACATGTAAGCCTCTATCGCTCATCATTAAATTGCAGTTTGAATTGGAGAATGTTGAAAGTTTCATTCAGAGGACACTGGCCTATCTCGGTAGTTCAGATGTTGATACGGAGGACATGCTCCGAGCCAGGGTAAGTGAATCTATTCCTCTTGACATGGACCATATACCCAGGAAAATCGACGACCCGAAATGGGTGAGCCCGCAAGAGCTTCCGGACAGGTACGACGCCAGGCAGAAGTGGAAAAGTTGTTCAAATCTATTGCGCGACGTACAAGACGAGGGAGTTTGCCATACTGACTCGGTGAGTCTGATCTCATTAAAAACAACTATAGGTGAAACAGGGTGGCATGAAACGAAAGAAAGAAATGAAGGATTGGAAATTCCAGTGATATATTTCATATTTTTCAGGGGTTAAAGTATGCAACCCGCACTCAAACACACACAAAAAGAAGAAAGTCACGAAACAAGAATAGGAACCGGTATTTTTTAATATCTTTCATAAATTTCTGAAATTTCAAGATTTTATTTTTCATGAAATTTTGCCACCCTTGTCTTTTAGAATTTCAAAATATCAACAAACTTTTTGTGAGGCGTAACTCAGCCTCTAGAAATTGCAATGTGCTTTGAATAGTCACAATCCTTAAACAGCATAAAATTGATACAAAACTAAGCAAAGTTCTTTTCAGGGGAACAGGGTTAGATAATGTCTAAACCTCGGAGTTCGTGGAAGATCTCAGTCAGAGAGTTAAGAAAATTTGCGCACATTCAAGGAAAGTCACTCAAAAAGCACGTGTCAAGAAAAATTAGATTTTCGTTTTGTTTCATCACATTCAACTTTATATGATTATACATGCATTGTACGTACTATATTGTTAAACCATGGGTCGCTTCCTCCCACAGTATTTGATTTAATTTACGGACGGGCGCCAAAGAGAGTGTAGCACTGCTTGAAGCAGTGGCTTCGATATATTTATTAAAGCCCTTGCTACCATTTACAGCTACACAAAGATGATTTCAAAGAAAATTGTACAGATAGCCATGGAAAAAAGGGAAAGGAAACAATGAGATTACAAATCAAGTTTGACCATCAAATGGACCGCGTTTAACAGAAAGGAACCAAGCCCCATCAGCTATTGTCAAATTTAACGCGGCAGTTTATGTTTTCCAAGAGAACGTTTGAGCGGATTCCTTTGAAAATTTTAGGGAATTTGCTTCGTACTTTGCAGAAAATCCACTGAAATTTGCACCAAAATGCGCATTACCGTCCTCATGTAAAGAATTAAATTGCCCAATTAAATTTGGCAATAGCTGGCAATAGATGTGGCTTGGTTCCTTTCTGTTTAACGCGGTCCAAATATTACCCGTGTATAATTTTTTCTTTCGACCCCAGCCTGGAATCGTATCTTCCGTCATGGCTGACAGGTACTGCATATTCACGAATGGATCTTTTAAAGAGGTCTTGTCTCAAGAGATGCTTGTCGGTTGCGCCGAATATTGCACACAAGGATCAAGACTAGCACAGTCGTGGAGATACGCTACGAGCGAAGGAATTCCAACTGGTGGCGGATTCAACTCTCGAAAGGTGGGTGATAAGTCTTTTAAACTAATTGACCACATAGGTAATGATGGTTCAATTTGTTTCAAGCCGACTGCTGCTGAGTGCTGACCGCAGTGTTTGACGCAATGCGTGAAGTATTCATGCAGTCTTGTAGGCGCTAAGCGTTTCATGCCGACCACCGCGCCGCTCCGTTCCAGGTCGTGTTTGGTTTCTCTCTTAACTCGATTAATTAAAGGTGTTGTCTCTTGTATCACCAAAAGACGACAAAATTGAAAATTGCTATACTTTTACTCTCAGGAAATGAGAGATTTTGTCGCCTTTTCTCGTTTATAATTTATTTTCTGAATCTGATTTTGTTCTCTCTTTTTTTGATACCTACATTCAATAAGATTGCAAAATTTGCCGCCCCCCTACATTTTGCCGACATAGGCCGCGGCCCATGTGACCACCCCCTTAATCCGGCCCTGTTCTTTAGTGATTCAACCGCAAAAACTTGTCTGTGGTTGCCTTATTAATCGAGTGATTTTGTTACAGGTGTCTCCAAGTGAGCTGAACAAAACAGATAAAATTCCTCCCAATCTGTGATAACTGCGTTGGCAATCCATGATCGTAGTTTAGACCGATGAGTCTCATTTAATCAATTGAATTCGATGTCATATATATAAGGGAATAATTGACTGAAATATATTCAAAATCGATTCGCTGCACATTGATATAATTTAATACCCTGGGTGGAATCTTTTGAGTGATAAAATGTTTGTGAAATTGCATCTCTCTTTACAATTTTTGTTAAAATAAATTGTATTTCATCAGAATTACAACTGAAAAGTGGGTTTTACACGCTTTCAGGGTTGTTTACCCTACGACCATCCACCATGCAGGCACACCAATGGCAGCTACGTGCACAGCCCAGTCGAGGGTGGAAGGCGCCTGAAACCATGCGACGAGAGTTTCCCGTACGATCACGACTGCCCCAAGCAGTGTACTAACCGCAAGTATTCAAAATCTCTGGATGCCGATCGTGTCAAGCGTAAGGATTTTTGTCACATAAATCTTCAGTTGCATATGCGAATAATTTGATAATTTTACATTTGCAGGCAATGTCTGGGACTCGAGACGCTAAAATCATCATATTCATTTTTTCCACATTATTTTGCCTGACTCAATGAGAATTCGTAGAACATCCTCAGGAAAATATTTAATTACAGAACATTTGCTCAATTTGAGATACTTTGAATGATGTCAATGAGGGTCTCTAACGTCGATTTATTTCGCGTATCCTAATAAAAGGATGTGACATACGAACATACTGCGCTGAATTAATGTATTTTACTATGACGGAATTAGGCCTCCATGCGTACCAGAGTGTTACTCCGGCGTTTCATATTCTCTTCCGTTGTTCATTTTCTAGCAGATAACTTCAAAATTATTAAATTACCCGAAATGAATATTCAAGCTTAATAATCGAGGTTTCTAGTTCAACAATTGAGAAATAGATGCGATGGATAGACGTGCTGACCAAGACCATGGTACATGTATAAATCTGGAAACTGTGCTTTAAAAAAACTGTCTGTGAGGTATTCATTCTTGATAGTCAAAACTTAGTGAGCAAAAAATCTGAATATTTTGTCCTCCATTCAATTACTTTACAGTTCTGTGGTAATTTTCTGAGAGATTTAAAGCATCATCGAAGCTCAGCTCCCAAATTCTATTATCCCTCTTTTTCTCCCCACGGTTTTATTTAATCCATTTAAAAGTTCTCTTATTTCCGCAGTTGAGACTTGGTATATGCTTTCGAGGGACGAATCTGATATCAGGCGTGATATATTTGCATACGGACCTGTGGCTACATTCATTATCTTCACCGACCAGCTTTTTGACAAACCTGATGGTAAAGTAAACATAACTAAAAGATCGACGATTAAAACGATAGAAACGATTAATTAAAAATAATGCAAGTAGATTGCATTGAAAAGTTAGTGTTGCATAACGACGATAAAACTACCAAACTACGTATCTCGATTTGCAACATCGCAATTCTTGAAAACTTGCGAAATTTTTTTCACTGGGCGAAAAAAACTCTGTGGGAAGATATTCTGTAATAAGAAATGTTATCGATTCGTACTCCTTCAGAAAAATAAGGAGGAAGCGGAGATTTTAAAACATCGCAATCAAGATACGTATCATAGTAGTTTCACCGTCGATTAGTATTGCGCTGGCTATCACGATATACTAATTAGTTTTTCAATATATCAGGAAGTGGTTCAGAAAAGACACTGCATATTATTTCAATTTTGCGGGATTCCTACTTAGCATGAACTCATAGTACAGCCATTTTTATTCTATGGGATTCAAATGAGAGCCCATGAATGGCTTGGTTACTCACATATTTGAAAAATTGTCAAATTCAGTTTCATTTTTTGCGGAAAACAGATACAGTCTTGTAAGATTCAAATTAACTTAATTTTGGACTCTTGAGTAAATAAGTGAAAAATAGGGCCGGGATCGCCCGATATCATTTACTGTGCCAGAAGTATTTTACTTAGGAATGTGGTAAATACTACCAGAACTTTGATAGGTTTCAATAACTTGTATAACCAAGTTCGCCTGAACTGAAATTCAGTATATTATAACCATCTTTTCATTAACCAATTTTCATTGTGAGCTCTTCACACCATTTATCTTACCAAAAGTTCATCAAAGCGTGCATTGCGTGCGTGCATTCACCGGTTGCTCAGAAACATGATGCAAAGCGGCCAGGGGGCATAGCCCCCTAGTTTAATATATTCATTTATAAAGGTACATTTAAAGTGCTTACTTTAATATATTTTGCACTCCAGACTTTTATTATTTTACATTTTGTCATATTTTTGATTCACAGGAATGTATCAGCAGAAAGAGGGAAGACGAAGAATTAGTACATTCAAATGCTTGAAGCTCATTGGCTGGGGTGAAGAGAGTAATGTCAAATTTTGGCTGGCTGTTAATAGCTGGGATAGTTGGGGAAATAAGGTGTTTAAAATCCCCAGAGGTTCCAATTATGACCTTGTTGAATCTCTTCCAACGACTGGAATATATTTTAAGTAGGTAATTTCTCTGTGGGATTGCTCATCCGTGCAAATCTGGCACGAGAAAGGAGCGGAGAGAGTAGGGGAAACCGGGTTGTGACATGATTATCGTGACATACCACTCTAATGATTTTATAATATAGAATTATAGAATGTGATAATACACTTTTATTATATCAGTCAACCTATGCTGTCTCAATCTAATGTGCGATGTCGTCCAAAAAGTTTTGCCACTCAAAATCACCTAAACTAAGGTAGAAAGAGAAATTTTGTAAAAAATTCTAAAATGCCACAACACACGGCTTTCTAACGCACCATAGAAATTAACTTTTTCTCCGAACAGAACACTAAAAAAGTTTGGTTTTCTGAACCCACCTCCTATGTGCGCAGATCTAAAATTGCATTGTCATTTCAGCAAGTGAGCCACTCCATTCATTGCTTCATTGCAAGTATAGACTTAAAGGTAGTTTGATCTCGTTTAAAAAGCTATAAATCACAAAATTGAAGTGTGTCCTGAAATTTATCACTGAAGTCCATTTTTTAGCTATTACTACAGCAAAATATAGACTTCTCTTGGGTTCAATTCTTCGTACCTACTTACTCCTAAAATCTCTTAAAAATGAAATTGGGAGCTGGAAAATATCGCAAAAATCACATACATTGATTTTATTTCTTTAATTTTTGCATTGTTGTACATATTTACACACATTTTTGGTTTTAATTTATTTGAGAACTGCGCTGCTTGGGTAGGTATGAATGCCACATGAGCCGTCCCCTCGATACAGGTAATAGTATCCCTGTAACACAATATTCAAAGATTAGCTGCGTCAACATGAATGTAATTTTCTTTCAATTTTTGTTTCTTCCGATACCACATTTTTTTTACAATCAGTTCTAAAGCCTTAATAAAATTATATTTCTATATTCTATCAAACCTAATTGACATTTTGGTCGGAATGCAGTTACTTAATTAGGCTGGAAGATTCCATTTCACCTCCAAATAAATTATCACTTTTAAAATATGGCTGAGAAAAATAAAATGTCCGAGTTAATTTCCACCTGTGAATTGGCACGCAATATGGCATATTATAAAAAATACTAGTATGGACGAATAAAATCAGACTTAACCTGAAGAAAGCTGTGGTGAAAAATTTTGAACATAAAATCAAACAAACGAAAGAAACAAGGACGAGCGTATTAATACTGGCAAAATGTCTCCAGTTAACAACTCGGAATTGCTCTAATGATAAAAAGACAGTAGATACTGAGGCATGAGAGCAGTTTTAAAATTGACATTGAATGTGAATGGTGCCAAGAATACTCACCCACAGTCTTTCCGCCCAAGGGACTATTCACCAACTCGTTTTCACCCAAGACTTTTTAACCCACGGATATTCATCCACAACCTTTTTAATCTGTGGGTTTTTTAACCCACAAGCGTTTTCATCAAGTCGAAAGTTAGAATTGAGCACCACTCTCGCGGTCATGCCTGAATAACTGGGAACTGGAGTTAGAAATCAAGTTCGCCTTCAACTCGACGGATGCAATTTGAGCGGTTCGGGAGTTGAAATAGTTGTATCATTCATCCTAATTTAGCATGATGCCCAGGAATAAGTGACTATCGTTGTGATCTTTGTGTTCTCAATGATCACCACAGCGAAGCGTCCAATAACTTTCAGTCGATTCTTTACACCAAAAAATATTTTAATATTGACCGTGGGAAAAGTTGAAAAAGTTGTTGATCATTGTCAATACCTCCTCATATTTTTCACATACATTTTAGATTTTTCATTTTAACTCTTTAGTGTCACTCAAACCAGTACATTTTTCAACTTTCAGTTTTATCCTTCAACAATCTTCAGTAATGTCCCATAAATTTAATGACTAGACTTGCAGCTGATACCTGCATAGATTATAGCCAACAAATCACGCGTAGCCTTGTTGTCTCACCACCCGTGACGTCAGTAAGACTATATAAGCGTGGGATGCCTAAAAATCGAGGTCTTATTCCATCTTTCTGACCCGTGGTCCCTCGCTTTACGGTCTTTTTCCAACTTGTAGACCCTAGACCTGTACTCCTTTACGGTCTATTTCTCCCGAGGTCTTGTCCCTTAATCAGATCTCTGATACATCGAGCATTTTCCATACACTGTGCAACTTATAAACTTGTGTGACAATTAATTTCATTCTTTTGTAAAATCTGTGGTATCTAAGTTCATTTCAAATACAAACAGACATTCCGCGTCAAAATTGTGTTTCTCTTAATTTCATTCACTGTATCGTAGTTAGTTGGATCTACAGATCGAAAAATCCAACTGGTGCCGAACATTTTTATTAAGAACAAGTAAGTACCGAAACTCGCATCATATTCGTTACATAGTGCCTCAACCATATTCGTTACATGGCACCAAAACCCTAAGCCATATTCGTTACAATCATGCATATTAGTTTAGCATGATGCCCTGGGAAAAGTGACTTGCGATGTGATCTTTGTGTTTTCAATGACCAACACAACAAAACGTCCAATAACTTCCACTCGATTCTCCCCACCAAAAATCTTTTAATATTGGCCGTGGGAAAAGTAGTAAAAGTTAGAATCGAGCACTGCTCACGCGGACCTGTCTAAATAACTATGAACTGGAGTTAGCAATTAAGAAGGTGATGAAATGGTGCTGGGTCCACACCGTCTCGCGGGGAAAACAAAAGCCAAAAAGCTCCAAAAATTTCGATTAAATTAGAAATTAAGTTCAGCATCAACTCGACCTGCTCCCTTGCGACTTCTATGATTAGTATCAAATACATGTAAATGGGAACTCCTTCTTTGCAAAAAGTCCTCATGTAAAAAATGCATGGGGGCCTAAAAGCTGTAGGTCAAGTATTGTCGGTGATGGGTTTGTGGGCGAGTAGTCCTGAAATCATGTAAGTAGGTGGTCAACTGAATGTATTCGTTGGTTTTTAACAAAATTCTTTTAATCACACGACTCAGATCATTTTTGCTAAAGTCGTACTAAAAAGATTGTCATGCATGCAATAAAATGTGCCAAAATATTATTCTTTTCTTCAAGAAAATTCTCCATATTTCTAATGACAGTCTGAACTCGACATCTGACCACATGCAGAAGATGAATATTTGAAAGCGAAAATGTTTTCAAAGATAGCTTTGTTTTCTTATGATGAAATATGATATATATTTTAAATTTGTTATACCTTCTTGCCAAATGACGTTCCCCAACTATTCTTGGCAATCCAGTAAGGAAGGCGTTTCTTCTTACCTCCTCCCAAAGAAACCGCTGTAACAAATCAAAATTTTAATTGACAATTTCACTATTTTGACCATAAAAACAAGTCGACAATAAAAACTACAATTAGGAGAAGGGGCATCACCATAGATGCAAAAATGGATTCCTCTGGTCACTTTAGCTGACTCTCTATCTCTCCCTTGTGAGACACCCGTGAGACCACCTCTCATTCCCTTTCCCCTCTTGAATTACGTAAGACTTGTCTGACCGCCTCCCCCAATTTCTCAGGAAATAACGCAGTAAGCTTGGAAAATACCTTAAAAAATTATTTTCATTGGAAAGTATTATTTAGAAAAAAAAATTGGAAGTTTTCATGAAACTAGGCTTGACCCCCCCCCTCATTTCCCTTGTATGAAACAGTGGAGGAAGCTCAGATAAAACCTAAGCCTAGAGAAGATATATCATTTAACTTACTATAGACGCCATAGCCAACCAAGAGTATTCCATGGTTAACATTCTCTTCCCTCTTTGAGCAGGCGGTTTCTGGTGGATGCGCAATGCCTCCTTTGTATCCCTGCGTGGCAAAAAAAAACCCATTAATAAAAAATTTGGGATGAAGATGAGTTAGCAAGGAGATAAAAACTATTTAGGAGATGAAAAACTGAACACTTTAAATATTTGGACTTGCCCCTTAAACTAAGGAACAATGAGTATTAATTGGAGTGTGGAAGTTGATTGAACCTGAAGTGAAGAAAATCCCCGACATGCGGAGGTAAATATTTTTCTATTCTTATAATGGTGAATTCTACTCGTAAAATGCTGATTATGTACAAAGATTTTCTGAGATCTTAAAAAAGATAAAAGCAAATATTAAACTTTAGTGGACTAATAAGTTTTCTATGATACGTCTGTATATTGACATTCATGATCTTGGATTACGGAGTTGATGTTACTAACCGACATGGCAGAGGCATCTAGAGCGACAGAGATAGGTCCGTTATTAAACAAGTATGCACTCATTTTTTTCTCGTTCTGTGGGAGCATTACGTTTTCCTTAACGTGGAGGACTGCCAGGGATTTATTAAACGCGCACGTTTGGTGATACGCCCTATAAGGGTAATCTGTATCCCTTTCGAGTCCGGGAGCATTCTTTACGTAAACCACAGCGTTCGACATCCAGCCACCATTGCAGCCATCAGACGTCGTGTCACAATCCACAATCTCTGAAAATAATATTTATTTTTATCAGAACAAAGCTCAATGATGAAAGAGGATTGCTCTATAAACAAGGAGCTTTTTAATGACAAAAAAGTCACACAATTTTTTTTCCTAAAAAAACGGGCGACCTTTTGTTTTTCGTGTTAGAAGGGTTGCTGCTCTCCTGGGCCCTAAGAGCTCAATTTTTCGGCACGTCCGCACTCTCTCCATCTACGTACTCTATGTCGCACTGAGGATCGAGTCAATGACAAAGGTCGGACAAAATGTGGAAACTTTAAAAGCTTTTAGCTCCAAGTATAGAAAACTTGGAAGTTTTAAAAGTGTTTCCACTGGTTTCCTTGTGAAATTTTCCTCGAGAAGCGCCCCTCAAAATTAAAAATGTGACGAAATAAACAATAAAATTTGCAGTTTTTGTCAAATATTTCTTGTCCTACCTCCTCCATAACCCGATCCACTCTGCGTCGATGGCACGATCTGTGGTCTTCACATGGCCCCATCCTACACAAGAATGATGATGTTAGCAATGTGTGCTAGAGTCCTTAGGACACTCAAAATAGAGAAATAAATGCCGGGAGCTACTTACGCTGCTCAGAAAAGGTTTCCATTTTGTTATGTTTAATAGCGTAAAGGCTTTCCATGTTGCCCACTGCCGAAAATGCCCAGCATGAACCGCAATAACCCTGAAAAAAGAAAAGGAAAATTATAAAAAAAAATGATTCGATACTTCCTTGGATGCGCTTGAATATGGGCATTTTTATCGGAAAGGAGTAGTTATGAGTACAATCTCTGTCTTGGCATACTCGTCAAATGAGCACAACTGCACTTCGTGCTAATCTTGATCACAAACTACATCAATCCTTATTTTGAAGACTACTCTCTTTCGGCACAAGCGTGCTAATACGGAGGAACATATGTCCCAATTTTCAGACCAATAAACTCTCCTCACATGAAAAGACATCGTCTCCTTATTTCACCTGACTTCGCTGCTTACACCGTTTTTACGACATCCGCACAAGTTTGTTATTTCCTCTTTTAGTTTCATGCGTGATGAAACTATAGAACGTTGTCCTTGAGTGAAAAACTGCCGCATTTTGTACTATATCTACAATATGCCCCTAGTTGTGTGTTGTGTTATCTCGCGTAGTTTTTTAAATATGTTGCATACTCGAAATAGAAATCACATCAAGTCAAACTCCCCCAAGTCATAACAATTGTGTGTTAACAAAGAAAATTAGAAAAATATTTCGCTAAGTAAACAGATACATCAGATAAAGTGATACTCCCTCCTTCGTGTCATAAAATGAAACTTGATGCAGAAAGTCTCGGATCTCCTTTAATTGGAGGAGTTCATGATAAAAATAACTTTAGGCGTCATTGAATTTATGTGGTGAATAGTTTTTTTTTTTTTTTAATGTATTCATTTTACACATTATTGCTTTCAGCAGAAATACGTCCAATTTTTTAAAATAGACCAACACAGGATTTGAGCTGGTTCAATAAGGCAATAATTTATTAGTGAGCAAATGTAATACCAACATTAATTCGTCGAGGAGGGTGATCTTGACAATCGGTGGAGCATCCAACTTTATCCCACCTGCCAAGGCCTCAAAAGTGGCGGG